TTCTTGGTGTCCACTGCGTGACTCTGCGTTGACGATGAGCTGCTTTACCAAAACCATCTCGCTGAAGTGCCAGTCAAACACGATCCTCGCCTGCTTCCCCCAAAAAAAGATTGCGTGTTTAAATTCGAATGCCGCAGCCACCACACCGGACTACCCGATTACGGCCATAAAAGAATGAGTGACTGAGCAGATGTCATCGTCAGATGCGTCCATTAACCACTAACTCATTACTATGCATGGTTCAGTCACCGAATCTATATGTGCCCTGATGACTTGGGTTGTCTTGTGTACCTAAATGTGTAAACGATTGAAGAAAGACAAAACTACAATGTCAAGTTTGAAGTGAAAACTTTTATTCTTAGCGGTAAGACAAAGAAACAACACAAAACATCTCAGCGTTAGGCTACACGAAGACACGTAGTCCATCTCCTTCTGTCGACATAACAGCACACCACTAGACAAAACACGGGGTGACACACTGCACTTTTTTCGTCAACATGGTGGTCAAAGGTTGATCCGCTGATAAAATATCGGCGACGATTGGGCGCAGTCTCTCAGTTTTAGACCGTCAATGCCGGCAGACGAGCAGTTGTGGTGCTTTCTCAAAAAAACTTCTAGACTGACCACGTGATGCACATCAAGTACCAATAGAAACAAAATATCAATACAACAACATTCAGCAGACCAAATCATCTTACGCAAGCACATAGAGCACCATGTGGGTTTTCAAAAAAGGTGTCATAATCCTGGTGCCTTAAAAAGCTGATGGTATGTATGACATCGGATGCTCATTCTCCTAATCAACACTGTGATCTACTGCTTGCAGTCTAGGTTCTGTAGTGGTAGGAGGTGAGAGCTCTTTATCTCATTACTGGTGGGCATTCGTGGCTCGAGTTGGGTTCCACTATGTGTGGTACGCTGACCAGTGAGGGTCAGCGTTTCATTTCCAGACAAACAGGGCAGCACAAGAGCACCATGAAACGGCGGCGCTGATCTCTGACAGTCCAATCTGTTATCTCTACAACACTGTTGATCGTAATGTAGCGGTACTGCGTAAACAGCAAACCTGTATGTCCGATCAGATAATTCGGTTCCCGGATAATTCCTGGTGGGTAAGGGTTGGACAGCGTTATAGCCACATATTGGTGTTTGGGCCTTCCCACAACGCATGCTCATTTCAGTGCAGCATGCTTTTTGACTCTGTGTTTGTCATGAATTCGCCAAGAACTGTTCGTATATATGTTGGACAACAAGCCTGCTGCACCTTCTGTGGCATCACTGAACACAGCACCCGCCATTGGCGCCGATGTGTAGGGTAATCGCATAGATTTTAAACCACTAAACAATGACACGACTTTGGGAAACGCAGTGGACGGCTCCAGAAATTTGGGCAGTCTGGTGTTTTAATGTACGCACAGACCCTTACAAGTTTCTTCTCATCAAAATATGGCTGCGGTGGCAGGGATTTTATCCCACGACATTGGGGTCAATATCCGACATTTGTATATCACAATAATAGCGAAAGTTGGGCTAGTTGGTGGTGCATACTTGGGAAGTAAAAACAGTGCACAAAAAATCCGTATTTCTTTTGCGTGCATGTATCATCGGCAGTGTGTAAAAGTACCTAGCAAGTCACCGGCCCCCTTCAGGCAGGCATTTTTTTCTCAGTGTTTGGGCGCTCAGTGTATGACATGTACGCCTGTACGTAGTTTGTCACTGTATTATTTCATCACTCCATGAATGCTGATGGAGTGGCCGGCATTCGTACGTGCCTCCACATCATGTCACCATGGCTTGGCTCTGCCACATAGTGGACAGTGTGGCTTACAGTAAACTTTAATTATCCTTATCCTAAACGATATCCATTAACTCCCATTGATTATGCTTAATATCGAATCAAATCCTTTAAATTTTTTCTCCACGTGTGCCAACTCAAGAGATTATTTCATACGTGAATACCTGTGATCGTGCAACCATAAAAATTGTGAGAGATTACCAACAGACTTGCACAGCTCACAAAAGTGTTTACTCAATTGTAGTGCAATGCTGTGGTCCATCTAATTTTGTCCTAATGTAGTCTAAGTACACTACCTTTTGTTTCTGAATGTTTTGAACCTTCTCAAAAGTAACACGCTCCCATACTTCTATCAAAAAACAAGCTTTATGATCAAAAATTACAAAGCCCAACAAAACACTCAACCTAAAAGAAAGGTACACAAGTAGTGTGTTGGCGAACCATCTGTCACTCTATACTCATATGTATTTGGATACCTCGACACGTATATCAGTTAGTGAATCTGCTATCATATAAATTTTGTGTATTTTTTTTATTTATCACATACGCTCATGTGCTATTGCTATATCTGCATATTTCATGTATAACAAGAAAATTGTTCCTTGTGTATATTTCTTAATTGTGTGTTGCATCATTTCTCATGCTCAGTAACTTTTTTATCATTAGTTCGTTATGTATCGACGAGGCCCACAAAAGTGTCCTTTTAAGAACAAACTTACCCTGCGCTTGTGCTCGTGAAAGGCGCTGTGGTAAAAATGTCCTGGTGCTTGGTAGAGAACTTTGGGTGTGTCTGCGTTCAGTTAGGCAGCATGCAAGTGTTCGCGGCTGGCAACACCCTGATGGGGCATTGGTGTTTCGGCTAAAGTCTGTGGCCGCCAGCTCATTGGCGCGCGAAGTCTGTGCATGTAGCAGCTTAAACTTTGTATCGGGTAACACTTTTTGCAGTCTCGCCTGGTTAGCGTGGAACGCCGCTTGACTGGGAGCCTGAAGTGGGCGTACATGGGATTTTCGAGGAGCTTGACGAATAACAGGTATGTCTGGGAGGACAAATGAAAATTTTTGGTGCACCCTCACTTCAAAATTTTCTAAAAAAATTTTTACACTCAAGTGATTCCATTGCATTTTAAGGAAATACAATGTTATGAAATTTACCATTGCCAAAATGGCTGACTTTAGTCTGGATTTAAACAAATAGAAGCCAACAAATGATCGGTGGGCTGTAGCATATGAAAGTATGTACGAAACACATTGAACAAAACAACATTGAAGATTAACAACAAATGAACAACAAATGAAACAACAAATGAACAAAACAACATTGAAGATTAAAGTGCAGAAAATAACATGCGCAATATAGCACTAACCAAAGAGCAGTGGGAGGTCCAGTTATCACACCCGAGCTTGAAGAATCAGCGCAGCATGGTTCAACAGGCGCGGGTGATGGTGAAGGCCCGCAGATACCTGGATTAAGGAGGCTGCCCACCTTGGGCGCACAATGCGTTTGCTCAACTAAAAGTTTATTCTCTCTCTCTCTCTCTCCATGAGGCAAATCACATCATAGAGTGTTACAGCTGCTTGTCTTAGGTGCTTTGCAGACTGTCTCACTTTCTCGGTTATGTAAAGCGAAGATGCACCACTTGTCATGCATTTATCAAATTATGTGAGGATACGCTCGCTTACACTTGGCACACGTATGCATTCTACCCCGCCTTTGCCACTCAATAGCTCTCACTAACACTCAAGAAACTAGAATGTGTGCTGTTGCATTATTGATAGATTCAGAAATATGATGGGGTGAAGGAAGCTCCTGAAACATTTCAAGTGCCAATACATCCGACTTTTTTCTTGCTGAGCAGGTATGAGAAGAGATATATATTTGGTTCTATAGCAAAAGGATTTCTGGTGATTTATTGTCAAAGATCGATGAGCAATTTTACAAAACTTTTGCACTCTTGCAGGAGCTGGTGAAACATACGCTGAATGGAGGACATGAGACTGTGACTAAGGGGCCAAAAGGTATAAATTTTCAGACCAAGGCGCTATTACTAGCAAGCTTATTTTGATGACTGAAGCTTTCCTTAAGTATGCAACACTTAATTAAATTACATTTTATCTCAAACAAGTTGCAGTATTATAAAATTTACTATTGTAAAAATGGTTAATTTTACTGTGGATTCAACATAATAGAAGCTGGCTGGTGTTCAGTGCACAGCATCGCTGAAAGCTGGTTCCGCTGAAATCAGAAAATAATTGATGAGAGTACACCTGGAAAACATTCGTGACGAGAAAAGTGTATGTAATTGTTCCTAAATGGGGGAGCGGCTGTACTGCTTGAATCAAGAAAAGTACCGAATGTGCTGTTTCTATGGCAAATCTTGTTCATTCTTCATTCTTGATTATTATTGTTTGAGCTGTGAGACCCAGCTTATTGTTTGAAGACCACTCGGGAAGGTAGAATGAAGTACACGTGACGAAAGTGGAAGTGACAAACTTATCTACTAGACTGTATGTATGACTTTGACCAAACTCTGTTTTCATGTTTGCTGTTGCTCTTTAAACACGGGGCTATTCCCAGTCTCTGGGCTATCTAGTTACTTAAACCGTTCCTTACAAAAAATGTTTAGAGTGCATGTCCAATGAACACACTATCCTATAAGCAAAAGTAGAGACCGTGCTTGCAGCATGAAATGCAAAAGCTTTTTGTGTGACTTCGCTGCAGTTGAATTTCTCTGTAATGTTTTGCTCAGGAACACCACTGTGTCAGAACTGTCCTAGGTATTCACTAGCACTAACTAAGTTCTCAGCCCCGCCACGGTGGTCTAGTGGCTAAGGTACTCGGCTGCTGACCCATAGGTCGCGGGATCAAATCCCGGCTGCGGCGGCTGCATTTCCGATGGAGGCGGAAATGTCGTAGGCCCGTGTGCTCAGACTTGGGTACACGTTAAAGAACCCCAGGTGGTCGAAATTTCCGGAGCCCTCCACTACGGCGTCTCTCATAATCATATAGTGGTTTCGGGACGTTAAACCCCACGAATCAATCAATCAATAAACCAAGTTCTCAGTCTTTCAAACCCGTCTGTCTTTCTCATAATCAGCATCTCCTCTTACTTGTTCTTGCGAGGATTACGAAAATGACCCTGACTATTCGAAGGGTGCCACACCTTTTGACGCTCATAGAGCAGCCTAAAACAGTGATGCATCCCAGTTTCGTCCATCTCGGACATTTTCACCTTTATTAACATGTACATTTCTGTTACATTCTTACCCAGTACCCATCTCTGAGAAGTGGTTTAAAAGGGAAAAAATGTGGATGACGCATTGTACACACATTGCATGAATAAAAACAAACTTTGCAGACCTGGTATAGAGAGCGAATGTACAAAACTGCACAGCAATTGTGCCATAGGCGACTGTGATGAGTATGCAAGAATGATGGAGCATTAAAATTAAATACAGACAATATTCATGAAGACTTTGTGCACTTTGTTAAATAATCAAGGGATTGGAATGAAATAAGTATTAAGTACATTCAGGACATAAAATAACCCTTCCTTTTGTTTTCTGCACTTACCATAATATTTGTGTCCGAATACTGAGCGGCGAAGCATACCGTGACGAGGAGGATAAAAAAATTAATAGGGTATGTAAGTAAATTGGTTAAAATAAGTGTGCTGCTTGATGAAAGCTTATTACTACAAACATTTTTGCAACCATGTAACTTCACATTTCCTTGCAATCGAAGGAACTTGAAGGACTTTTCATCATTGCATTGCTGATTTTAATCACTGTGCATTGGTTGCAGTGGCGAAATGAAATTCTCTTTTTTTTTGCTGAAAACATGGCAACTTCAAAATTTCCAATCAATATCAAACACAATAGACTCTTTGTTCATCAATAAACTCACTAATTTCATACATCTATAGGATGTTCCATGAAAAGTGTGAGAGGGTAATAATGGCCAGGTGCTTTTGCTTGCGTAAATATTGCACAATATAAAGAGTTGGTGCCTGTCATTATCACAGCAGTCAATATCTATTAATGTGTCTAGTAGACAGTGTATTCATGAACAGCATCTTTATACAATATATTTATGAACAGCATATTGACAAGTGAGTTATAATTTTTTGTGCGTGCATTCCAAGGCAAGAGAAGGTGGGGCAACAGAAGAGAATGTGGGCCGGGTAAAGTGCTGACTTCCAGCTGGAGTTCTCTATGTGTGTCGAAAATTTTTGTCTCTAGGTTTTTGTACGTATCTTCGGAATAAAAGAGAAAAACATGGCTTCGTACTCAGTAAAACAGGTTTTTATCCATATCTTGACCTCTTTCTACGTGGTGCTGGTGATCAGCGACTATAGTATTAACCACGTGCACCTGTTGTTAACTCCTCAGTTCGTGCAAAAGCCCGAGAGGACAGCATTGCCCAAAACTCAATGTGAGTGGAACGTTAGAGAACTAAGTTCCAAGTGAGCAAAGGACCATGTCCGTGCTTCTTCAGTAAGCATAGGCCCTCTTGGCCTCTTCCGTTCTTTGGTTCTCAGGTGATAAAATGAATATTCACACTACTTTGATCACATGCACCTACAGCAATGTGTCTGTTTGACTTTAGTACTCTGTACAAATAGTTGTTTTGCTAGTTTGGTCACCTTTAATCACTACGTTTGTCTACACAATACCTACTGACAAGATCTCTTTAACGTCACATTAAAACAAAATTATGGAAGTAACAAATTTCACAGCTGTACACAGTCTATAGGTGCTATAGTTGCAATGGGTCTGAAGATTCTATGAGTACAGTGTGTTGTAGCACTAATGTATACATATTAATGAAAAAAACTTGGAGGTGAAATGCACTTCACGAGCTCAAAGCCTCAAGGCAGATTTCACAGTAATGTTTGAAGTCATGGCTAGCAAACATAAATGCCACCTTAAAGAAATTGGATAACCAACTCCACGAGGCAGAAACGTCCACATGCCGAATGAATCAATGGCAGTGATGTATATGCTAACACCTCAATTCACGGGGAGGCCGTCACTGATGCATATGCCAAAAAAAGGTGACAAACTCCGTTACAGCATATACAATAAATACATGTTATGCACGGCTGCCAAGCACTTTCGCATGTCTCGCTAAAGCTGTTCATCAGCATGCAGGCCCACCGTCGCCTCAGTCGTTGATGGGCCCCGAGGATATCTCCGACTTGGACATCTCCTCATACCTAATGCTGTGCCGATGCACTCTGGTGACGTACCTGGGAGTAAGAGAAGTGCGCACATTTCGGGAGCATATCCAATAGTTTATTGACATTTGTTTAACACATGCAATTTCAGACTCTGCAAGGCTGAATATTTCCGTGAATACTGGAACTTCTTTTTAATTTACGAAGTTGTTGTCAGCTGGTCTATTGATAGTGCAATCAGTGGGCAAATTTATGCGTTATGCATTTTTCTGGGAGTTGCTCAAAATTTTTATTAGGGAACTTACTGAATTCATGTAAACAAAAGCACCTGTGCTCTAGTAGCTACAACAGAAGCGGTAGTTTTCTGGCTTGACATGTAAGCTGTCAACACAAATTCTCAACTTGTTTAGTGTACTGATTTTAACAGTGTTATCCAAAAAGTTTTAGGATCTCACTGGGAACAAAAAATTTCGCTTAGTCAATTCACAAGCTACTTGCTTCCAAAAATACTTTTTTTAGGGAGATGAGTTGGTGCTTATATTGCTTAGGTATATGTGACAGTTGCGCAGAATATGCTCCATGCAAAGTGCAAGAAAAGGGAACAATGTGAAATGTCCAAAGTTTGCACTTCATTTCTCTCTTCTTTAATCTTTATCACGAAATGTATTTTGCGCCACAGTCAAGCTCATTGCTTATTTCTTCAAGCAGGCCTTGAGCCATAAATAAACATATCACACCTTTATATCTGAAAATTGTTGCAGTTGAAAAGTTCTCATAAGTTATCACAACCACCGCGTTTAGTGGCAGGGTTATTGTGTTTTAAGGTGTTCACTGATTTCACGAGGTGGAGCTGCCTCAACTGTTCTGTTTGGAATGAGCTACAGACAAGAGCTTACTGCTATTTTGGCATTATTGCTCTGTTTTAAAGCAAGCTTAAACATCTTAGCTATGTGGTTGGGAACCGTGTGCCCGACCCTGCAACGCTTAGCATAATACATGTTGGGATTGGGAGGAAGTGGCTCCTACTTACGAAGTGAGGCCGACGGCTATGCAGGTTACTGCAGCAGCCGCAAGGTAAGGCATTCCAGGCAAGAACCCAATAGACTGGTTGAATATAGTGGTGAGTAGCACTTCCCCAATTATAGGCACCACTGATTCGAATGAGGCCAGTAATGAGAACACCTTGCCTGTGACAAAACAGTGTAGCTATGTTCAAGAAACTAAGTCAAAATTTTTAAACAATGCACACAGTGGTAGTTTACACTTCCAAAACATGCAAAATTCAATGCAACACAGCCAGAGTTGTCTTGCATTACATCTAGAAGACTTGCTAAAGATGGATAAAATTAATTAATGTCAGTCGTTTACATTTGCAGAACGCTGAAAATGAAAAATTTTCTTACCAGCAGCACTGGTCTGGAAATTAAAAATGAAATGCAAAGTTAAAATGTAGCTCGCAGTTCCCACACCAGCTCCACACGACGTCACAGACTTCTGACATCGTCTACACCAGACTACCCGAAACTGCACATTTCTTTATACTGCACATTTTATAAAAGTACCAAGGGCAGCCTAGCAGGTTCTCAAGTTTCATTGTCTTTCTTTAAAAACAACACAAGCGGGCAGTGGCGTACCTACTCTTTTGCGATTGGGGGGGGGGGGGGGGGGGGGGGGGCTAACCTACCACACTCGTCAGCTGATGTGTGTGTGTGCGTGTGCGTGTGTGTGTGTGTGTGTGTGTGTGTAGGTATTGACTGAAGGTAGAGGCTGAGGAAGAAGAAGTCAGAGTAGAATAAACATGGGGTATGAGCCAGGCCACCTCTCCCATTCATCATAGCGTAACACGAGTCGACAGGATGAAGACCTCCCAGCCACTTCATCAATGTCTCATCGTCGGCACAGTTCTCCACAAGACGCCCTGACCATACATCGACTACGGAATCATCTCCTGGCCGCACTCAGCTACCAGCACCATCCCAGAATCATCGACTGACCTTCCCATCCCCAAGTACACCGAAGCAGCGGACGATGGACCTGTACAGAACTGGTTCGACCTGTTCGAGCACCACGCAACCGCTGCATCATGGTCGGAACGGGAGATGGTCGCCAACTTTACCGACTACGTCTCCGGTGAGGCCTTCAAATTCTACCTCACTCGCATATTTTAAAACGACGAGTCATGGGAAAAGATAAAACAAGAAATGATCGTTTGGTTTAAAAAATACGATGACTACGACAAAGACCTGCTTGTAACCCACCATCCACCGACAACTGCACTCAGTCGTCAATTTTACAGGCAGTCTTCAACCATTTGAACGCACAACAAGATTCGACCTTTGACAAAAGACGAAGTGGCACACGAGTTCAGTGGCAGACGACAATGCGTATTTTGGGAAAAACACAGCCATCGAGCGCGCCTCCCTTCTGGACGAAAGGCGGCATTTGCGAAGACATCGCTTCAGGATATGACACGAGATGTTGCTCAACCACCTGATGCCGTTCACTCTTCGTCTCGCATACGTGGTCCACCACCTGGGTTTTCATCATGCGGTTCTTCAAGCGCTCCTAGCGCTCACCATTTGCCTTATAAGGATGCTGTATTTATAGTAGATGACCTGGAGCATCGGAAAAATACCCTGTAGAGCCATGCTCCTTCCGCACGGGTTCATGCATCGCCATCCGGTGTATACACACTCAACAGTGGAAGCAACACCGAAGGCTCAGACGCATCGAACGTCGCACGCTGCAATGCGCAAGAGCCTCTCGTAGTGAACAGGGTAGAAGAAGCTTCTGAAGAACTTTCTACCAACTCTGAAGCATTGTCTTCATTGCCCGAAGTGCATGACAACAGCCCACAAACTACCAGCTGCCGACTGGGCACCACATCAAGTTATAAAAAAAACCAGCGCGATGTTCAAGAAGGGATCTCACCGCAATGTGTTCCACAGCAACATCAGCAACGCCAGCAAAAGCAAGTCCAAGAATCGCAGACACTCCAACGAATACACCGACAAGGACGACGACGCAAAGTAAGCCTCTTAAAACAAATTCAAGACGTCAGGCATCTTCGCATAAGGGATCGGCGCCAGAAACGCATTTGGCACAGGAGATCAAGACTGCGCCTACGATTACAGCTCCAAAACAGCAGAAAACGACGAAAGAGACGAGAAGGCACCATCTGTACAATGCAGAGACCAAGACATCATTCTGATTTCATCAGCTGCGACAATCGCACATCCACAAACCATCGCACAAACTAGAAGCACACCGTCTGTTCCCGTCGCAAGACACAACTCGACGCCTTCAACATCCGAACTTCAATTGCTACAAGGACTCCCACTCTTGTCCGTTCCTCGCAAGAACTCAACCCATGTCACCACCAGTGCAGATCTCCAGGGTGTGGTTATGCCATCCAGAACGCAACAGTCAGCCTCGCCCACCAGAACTCCTGCGTTAACCGGACTGCTGCACTCTCCACTGAAGTCTTCGAAAGCTTACGGAACTCCTCTAGAGCATATAACCAATTGTGACTTTTGACATTTGTGACTTTTTAACCTCTCCTTGTTTACTCTTGTTCATAAGTCATGCCTTCTTTCGGGGGAGGGGGAATCATGTAATAAATAGGTATTGACTGAAGGTAGAGGCTGAGGAAGAAGTCAGAGTAGAATAAACATGGGGTATGAGCCAGGACATGTCTCCCATTCATCATAGCGTCACGTATATGTGTGTGTGTGTGTGTGTGTGTGTGTGCGTGCATGCGCGCGCGCGTGTGTGTGTGTGTGTGTGTGTGTGTGTGTGTGTGTGTGTGTGTGGAGAGAGAGAGAGAGAGAGAAGAGAAAACTTGTTCGACGCACTTGCACTTGATGTGATTTTTCATACACACAACACTTGTACCTGTTCAATAGCGTACCAAAAAGGACAGTCAGTTTTAAGCAGCATGCACTGGGACAACACGTATATGTTTGTTCATGCATGATGCATGAAATATTACTACACGTGATGCTTTTTATGCATTACCTCACAACTTTCCTTATGAATACAAATATGTTGATGGCGGCCTCCTCAACAGTAAATATTTTATCATTGAATGAAATTTTTAATGACTAAAAAGAGCTCACAAGGAATTCAGTTTTTAAATGTGAAGCACTCGTTGAGGAACCAAAGGTATTTTGAGCATTTCTATCTACTTATTTTAGCTTCCCACTTTGCTCGAGTGCACTGCTTTATTTGTCGTCGCTTTGAGAGCTGCCTTCATCGCTCCTAGTTGCCATAAGCAAGGCTGATCAGATTTATAGCAGATCAAAGCGGAAACCTTTCTTGCTGCTTCAAGTACGGCAAAACTAAAATATTTAGAAAGATTAGTCACTCTCAAGTGCTCACAGCAACTTCAACAGAGCAGCGGTGATGGTAATCCTTTTTGATGAAAGAAAATGACTTTCCTGAAGCAGCAAATGCTTTGACTGGTCTGTAAAAAGTTTGTTCGTTTCCATCTATAACTGAATCGGCAAACTGCATCGGCAAAGAATAAAAACATGAACAAGTGATGTAAAATATAGCGGCCCTGTTCAGTGCCAGCTTGCTCTGCAGTGCTACTGCACAGGGCGGAAAGCATCGCAAAGAGCCTTCAAGGAAAATCGTCACTGCTGAAATGTTGGAGAAGTATCACTATATTATAACGTTCCCTCGTAATATTTTCTTTTTCTCTAACGATATAATTGAGTGATTACAGTGGTGAAGGAAAATTTTGCCTAAGTTGTTCTTTTCCTCGGCGTGTAGCCGACAGTGACCACTGTAGAAAATGGGAAGGTGGCTGTTGGTCCCCCTTGCCCCCCCCACGGCTGATACGCCTATGCAAGCGGGCTGTGAGATTCTTTGTAATCATTGAGCCCATGTTTACATATTGAATTTCCTGTTGCTCTACAAAGAGAAAAGAAATTATAACCTATTTAGTTTGCTACTAAGTGATCTACTAATTGTAATAAAGTGATATTTAAAAATCAGTCTTTAATTTTAATAAATTATTATAAATGCAAGGAACAATAGACATTGCTGGGTTTCATTGATCAATGTAAGAACAAAGGCCTTGCAATTTTGCTGCTTTGATCTGATCTAATAGCTTCTGTGTTGTTTGAAAAAATCCCACGAATTGGTGTGCCTACCATGCCCTGAAAGCAGGCCGGTGTTAGATTGAAGGTTTACGGCTGCTGCAACATGCTATTCAGAGCTGCAGTATAACTAGCGCATGTGTGTGAATGCCTTGTTATGTTGTATACAAACCACCTTAGTAAGCACAGCGACACAACACAGAAACAAGCTTGAACCTCCAGTGGAATTGACAGTGTGCCTCGGGTAACAGCACTCACCGACTTCGTCAGGTGCCACAAGCTTGGACAGGTGGGTCCTCATGCCTACCTGGCCAAGGAAAGTGGGAAGTCCAACAAGACATTCTGCGCAAAGGAGCATATAGTATTATGTATTGGTTTGTTGACTTGACTAAATTAGTGGCAGGCTTTAGATGTATGCAAATGACCACTTGCTTATAAAGCACACATGAATATAGTGAAAGGTAAATGTCTCCTTAGAACAAAAATTATAGCATCATGCCAGAAATGTGCACTCACAAACATTCTTGACAGAAACCATCTCGAGACTGGTTTAAATTGTGTGATTAACGCTACAGCAGGGTAGACTTCCTCTTAGAGGGGCGCGCTGTGGTGGTATAGTGATTCTTGAAGAAAGGAGGAAAGCTCTGTTGACCGTATGATAGATGGCTCGAAATGAGTTCTTATGACGTCTGCTTGTCCAGCACGACACCACTCATCGTGGGAAAGGACATGCTGGAATCAGCCCCTGAATGAGCCATTGTGCACCACTGTTGGAGTGCCTGCCAGTTATCTCTACCCGCAGCAGGGGCGAGGGAGGAGGAAAGCATTGAGTTGCCTTAGTTGCTCACTGTAGCGCCCGTTGATGCGTGACATGCCCGCGAGCAAGAGGTGCTCCGCGCCTAAAATGTTGCAACCATTCTATCCGCGTGCTTCGCATAACATTGGTTCCCAAAATACGTGACTTTTTTGCCCTTTTTTTTTTTTGTAGCACAGTGCTCTAATGTCTCATGTTTATTTGAAGGCACGGTTTTCGTTGACACAGTCGTCATCCTATTAGTTTTGTCACATATATATAACTCTGATTCTTGGGGGGGGGGGGGGGGGGGGGGGGGGGGCAGCGGCTTAGCCTGAAACTCTTTCACATCCTCCAGTGCTGGTGGGGACCATCCCTGATGGATTGCGTATATTATCGAGGGAGACTGTGCTTGAAATTTGTGCACCCCCTCTCACTGCTTCCTGTTCACCATGTTCGGGCGAGTTCCGGAATCGACGTTGTCTTTGCATAAGAGGTGGTTTAAGGTCGAATTCTGCATGTTCTTCTTTGTATGTGTACATGTGTCTTTGCACTTTCGAGAGCTTTCAGTAAAAAGATGGAGAAATTATTATCCACCTAGACATTATTATTTTGCATTCCATTCGCTGTTGTTGGATTCATGCGGCTGAGGCAAAGAACTGTCATATTACACTCCAGGTGTCTGCACACCTTCCATCTCCCGCGATCTCATGATCGTGTCGTAACGGTCCATTGTCGAAATATCGGGGCAGAATTCCTGGCTCGGCACGTTCTCCCAATGGCTTCAATGCCTTGTAGGTGCGTGTGTTTGCAGTACTGAACATTTCAACAGGACAAATGGCATGCACTTGAACTATCCCCGCGGGTAGTGGCCTTTCGCGCCCATGCACGCAAGGACCGCTGTAAAACCCGCGGGCTTCTCAGGGAGCAACCGAGTACACATGAGCCAATCTTCGTCGATCTTCTATGACCTTGGTTTTCGCGCGCTTTCCTCTCGACCCGCCTTTGTCTCTGCATGGTCACAGAAATGGTTTCAGCGTAGCGTCGGCACAATGTCCAGTTCGCAAGAGCGTTGAGAAAGTTTAGTGTACGATAGACCCTTTCATAGTATAAGTATAGTGTTTTAAGGACAGTGTATCTATAGACCCTGTGTTTATAAACACAGGCATTATGACATCCGGTTTCGTCCACTGATGTGTCCTTATAGCATCGGCTTCAGCAGCTCCACAGAGCAGCTCCGACTTCCAGGCTACGTCGGCTACAGCAGCCGGACCAGCTGCACCCTGACCGACTGCAGTGCTGCCCCTTGCCTGGACGACAACCACCCACAAGGACTTTTCCGCTGTGCCATCTACAAGAAGCGGGACCTGCTGCAGGCGGAGGTATTCGTGGCCGACCTGCTCGGAGGGCCCTTCGAGTGCTGCGCCGTCCGGGTCCGCCTCGACGGTGTTGACACCGCTGTGGCCAGCGTCTACATCAGACCCAAGGAACCATGGAACCCCGAGTGTCTTCGGCAGCTTGCGCACCAACTGGGGAAAGACTTCCTGCTGTGTGGAGACATCAACGCCCATCATCCAGCTTGGGGCGGCCGCAGGACCGACGTACGAGGGCGAGAGGTGCAAGACGTCGTGCTGCAGCTGGGCCTGGTAATCCTGAACACAGGGGTCGTCGCCTACCTGTCTCACGGAGCCAACAGCACCATCACAGCCGTAGACCTCAGCGTGGCTACGGAGGGTTGCCGGTACGCCTGGACACCGTTTCCGGACACCTCGGGTTCGGACCACCTGCCCATCCTACTGACCCTTTTCCGAGGCAAGGCCCCCAGGGATCGAGAGTACCGTGTGGTAGACTGGCGGGTATACCGGCAGCTGCTCAGGCAGGACACCGGTGACAAGGACCTCATGCAGCTGGTGGCTGACAGTGCCCGGGCTGCAACCGTCGCTGTTAAGGCACAGCAAGGGCAGCCTGTTCCAGACATCCGGCACCTAGCCTTGAGAGCAGCACAGAGGCGGGCAGAACGCCAGGCTCTGAAGAAGGGACAACCAGAGCTCTGGACAGTGTTCCGGAAGGTCGACGCCGCCTGCAGACGCCACGCCCGAGCGCACAGGACGCAGGGCTGGGTGGGCGTCTGCGCCTCCATCGACCGATCACTGGATGGCACCAAGGCCTGGCACCTGCTGAAGTGCCTGCTGATGGTGCCACGGCCGTTCAACCAAGTGATGTCCCTGGCAGTCCACCTTTCCATCCAGGCAGCGGACCTGGCAGAACAGCTGGCCGACCAGTTTTCTGCGAGGGACATTGCCCAGCTGCCTGCTGCACCTCCCCTTGCTGCGCTGCAGTATCCTGCCACTTGCCACCATCCTGGGTGGACAGCCGCGCAAGTACAAGAGCTGTGCTGGGAACCCATCTGGAAACACGAGTTGGAGGCTGCCCTTGCAGGATCGAAAAGACGAAGTGCCCCGGGAGCTGATGGTGTCACCTTCCAGATGCTCCGTAACCTGGACGGAGCTGGCCGCCAGGACCTGCTTTAGTACTACAACGACGTCTGGAATAGTGGGGTCCTACCGGAGTTATGGCGCACTGCGGTCTTCACCTTGATCCTGAAGCCCTGGAAGAAAGTCATGGCCCTCTCCTCGTACAGGCCAGTCTCTCTCACCTCGGCACCCTGCAAGGTGCTGGAGAAGGTGGCCTTGGAGCGACTCGAGTGGATTGTTGGCCAACTCGAGTTCTTCCCGGAACAACTGACTGGCTTCAGGCCCCACCGGTGTACAGCCGACTCCATTTCCGACGTCGTCGCCACCCTTGAGGATGCCAAGAGCTGCGGTGACGTGGCCATGCTGCTCCTGCTGGACGTGGAGAGTGCCTTTGACAGTCTCCTACACGAGGTCGTCGAGACGTCTCTGGACCGACTTCGTGTTCACTGGTTCCTCCGCAGCTTCGTGACTGCCTTCCTGACCGGCAGGACCTTCCGGGTTCGATTCGGAAAGGAGACCAGTACACCCAGGGACATCACCGCAGGTGTACCACAGGGCTCCGTGCTGAGCCCCTTCCTGTTCAACCTGGCGATGGCAAGGCTCCCCGCTTCTCTTCTGACAGGCACCAGGTTCCCGGCCCGCTGCCCTGTCTTCGCCGACGACGTGGCACTCTGGGCCCGGGGACCGAGGCGGTCCATTCCAGCCATCAGGACGTCACTGCAGGCGGCCCTGGATGCGGTGTCTGCCTACCTGAGTGGCATCAGACTCAAGGTCTCCGCAACCAAGACCGAGGCCCTGCTGATCCACCCGCTGGCCGCAGCACGACGCTACGTAAAGCAGCTGAGGGTCGGCAACCGCAACCTGCCTTGGAAGCTGACGGTGAAGTACCTGGGGCTCGCCATCGACCACCGTCTCACCTGGGTCCCAGCTGCCAAGGTTGCCTGCACACAGGTACGGCGTGTCCAGGGAGCCATCAGCAAGCTGCAGCAGCGTGGATGCGGCTGCTCAACCAAGCTGGCGCTTCGACTCAACCAGGCTTCAGCGTCCTCAGTCCTGCTGTACGCCTTTCCACTGGTGGCCCTGCCAGGAGACTGGACCTGGAGGGACATCACAGGAGAGCAGTGAGGGCCATCCTGGGGCTCCCCAGGAACTCCCCCGTGGCAGCGACCCTGGCCGAGGCTGGAGAGTGGCCCCTGTCCCTGCACATGCTCCAGCGTGCTCTGGGGCACGTAGACCGCCTACACCGTGCTGCCGACGGCAGAACCCTCCTGGAGCGACTTTGCAGCCAGCCGAGGTCACGGATGGGTGGTCTCTGTGCACTCTACCACCAGATGGTCCCGGACCCGCCAGTCCCGGTGCCCCTCCACCACCCCACCACCAGCTGTCTGAGGTCCGCCTGTACCTGGATGGGGTAACCAAGCGCCGAACACCTGCTGCAGCACTGCAACAGGCCGCCGTCTCCAAGCTCCAGCAGCAACTGGCAGGGCGGCTCCAGGTCTTCACTGACGGATCCGTCATGCCAGACGGTTCAGCGGCGGCCGCCTGCGTCATCCCATCCCGGGCCATCAGCAGGCAGTGCCAACTACCCTTCCCGGCGAGCTCGACGGCTGCGGAGCTGGCAGGGCTACACCTGGTCGCAGTCCTGTGTAACAGCAAGGCAGCCCTGCAGACGCTGGCCAATCATCACCGTGCCGGGCTCACGGGGAGTCATCACCGTGCCGGGCTTGAGGTAGCGGCCCGCCGCTACCTCAAGGGATGCTGCGCCTCCCCAGCCTGCAGCCGCTGCGGCGACCCCGAGACCCTCGAGCACCTCCTCTGTGCCTGCCCTGCCTTGGCCCAGGAACGCTCGAGGGTCACCGCAGCCTACCAGAGACATGGCCTTCCTGCCACCACCCTAGAGCACCTACTGTTCCCATCTCGTTCCCACCTACCAGCGCTCCGAAGCCTAGTGGAGTTCCTGGACGAGACGGGAATCGTGGCCGACCGCTGAGGACGGGCCCCTTGCCACCCCTACCCTTGCTTCTGAACTGCTGCTCGTGTTGATGACGACCGTGCCACTGCTCACTTAATCTTTACTCTTTTTTCCACTTTTCTCCCTTTTCCCTTCCCCGCAGGCACTGCGCCGTGCTCCCGACCGGGTTGCAGAAATCAGGTGCCTTTTCTTATCTTCTAACCAGTACCACCACCAACAGAAAATGAGCTCAGCTATGAATGCAAAAGTCAAAATGAACGGGTGACGTGCTTTTCCCAAAGGCCTGCCACTGCTTATGTTATGTGATTATTAAAGGGAAAAGAAGAGGAAAATGAGCCCCGTAACTGTCTGCACCAGAGTGCGACACATCAACAGTAGCTCACAAGGGGTGGGGGGTGAGGAGGGATTAAAAAGATAGGATTGAAAGGTATATATAGAGAGAAGAAGGAGAGAGCGAGGTGCAGCGACAGCGAGCGACGGAAGTAAAGAAGAGATAGGAAAGATGGACCTGGTCACAGGAGTCCGGGGACGGGGCACCACTCAGCGAGAGCTCGGCGGCAGGAGATGGCGTAGGGGAAGCCCCAGTCGGCCGTAGCTGCGCTGCTAGGGTGGCTAGCGCTGCCGTCGGAGATTGCAGGGCGGCAGGAAATCCAGCGAGCAAGACCGCCGCCACTGCTTCCCGGCTTTCCGAGTGAATAAAGGTACGCAGTTCTTTCAATGCGACACCAGCGGTCCTTGGTCGCAATTATTGTCACCTGTTTTGTAGCCGTAGGCGTAACTTCGCGCATTGAAAAATGGCGCGAAAGGTCCCGATGGAATAAATGTATATGGCCCAGAATAAAACGGCGCCTTGTTGGTAAAACGTTAGGCAATATTTAGCGCTGTGACACTCAAGTACGATACGGGAGCGCTCGTTTTGTGTCCTCCCTTCTGATTCTTGTGTCACTTTTCGCTAAATATTCCCTAATGCCATCAGGCCAGTCACTGTGTCGTCTGCCGCGACAATGCATTGGACGCGGAATCCAGCCTCGTATACCAAGGCTAAGTTTTCATCAACTAAAAAAAAAAGAAAAGCTTCTTCATTCCGAAACATGCGTGCGGATTCCTTGTATTTTGATGCTGCAAAAGTGATGGCAATTTTCCGTTTTACGACCTTTTCTCCACTTTGCAGTGTTCCGCTGAACTGACCAAGTTGCCAGGTCGGCTTTTAAACTATACCGAACGATAAATATCTGTCACTGCGCTTTATCTCACATGAGGTCAAAGCCCCAGTATGAATCATGTTCATTGAATCATTTCCGGTCATGATATGAATCATGACCGGAAAACAGCACAGCTTGCTTTGTGCGACAGCCCCGTCTCTTTTTTTTTCCTTTTTTCTTTCCCCTGTAATCGAAGAAAAACAGAGCAATAAAGAACTCTAGCATCACACCTTGCTCTGTGAATGTCGGGGCATACAGCTGGCTGTGCTGTGTCCCGGAAGACTTTTTTTTTTCTCGCATATTATGAAGGTGAGTCACCAATGGAGCCGACTAACCGCGCTGCTGTATAGTTATGTGCACTAACCATTTTTAACGCTTAAGAAGTGTATGAAGAAGGGTGTTTTCCTGTCTTCTACTGGCTAACACTGGTGTACGAAAAAAAAAATGGTTTGCTGGCAATGGTCAAATAATATTTTGTTTGCTGATCAGATTTTAATTTGCGGTAATTTATTATGACCGCGACGACTGCTGCAGGAGACAAGTAACTTCTCGGTGCTATTATTGCTAAATTCTCAGGTCAGGTACTTCTTAAAATGACCAGATGAAATTCTCACAACGCTCAAATGTATACTCCTTTTACCATCGTATGTTTGCACAGTCGTCGGCAGGATTTTCTCTTCAGGGGTGCTAACAGGTGTTGCTTTGCGGTTGGGGGAGGGGGAGAGCACTGGTGTAGCTTGGGTAAAGGCAAGCGCTGCTGAGCCTTAAAGGGGCAGGTGCCCCTTTTAAGCGCCCCTTGCCGACGGCTGTGTACACATATTTAAGGTTCGCCGATGTGCAAAATAGTTATTACGACCGTATAGACCTATTTCATGCTTGTAAACTGCAAGGGAAGGCGTCTGATATTTGAAAGAGGTGATTTTTAAAAGATAAATCACGAAAGGGTGACACTTGCAAGGTTAAAAGGCTAATGCCCCCCCCCCCCCCCCCCCCCCGCTAGCCCCAGCCCCAGTCAAGCGATCAGAAGTGATCGCTTGACCCCCCCACCCCGCACCATTTACGACAATGGTAAAGGGTGTGGTTTTTCTCTTGGTCGCCGACAGACCTTTCCTTCATTATTGTAGTACAGCGTACAGAACGGATTGGCGCTACTTACGCAAGTAGTACAGCCATTCTTCGAAGGCGAGCCCCAGTATGAGCATCTGCGCTGCCGCGAAGCACGAGCCGACGACTGCCATGGCGGGGTCGCTGATCTTGAGGACCTTCACGAAGAGGAAGACGATGGGCACGTTCAGGGCCACGCCAACCACGGTCGACACGTACTGCACCGTTGAGTAGTAGGCCACCGTCCAGGAGTACATCTTGCGCACATAGTAGTAAGCGATTCCCGAGGCTGCAAAAAAGAGCACGCGTACGTGGACCACCGGCACTGCGACAGACACGGTCTCAAATTGCGCGAAAAGTCAATCGCATCGTTTTACAGATAGAAAATTCAGTTTTGTTCGTAAAAGAAGAGTTTAAATCTTCGGTTGCTGTAGCTGCAGTTGAAAGCCGTTTGACGATAAATTATGGGTAGTCTCCCCGAAGGGGACCCTTATGGGATGCGAAGCAGCAGCGGTGCACATGGCATTGACCCGGTTGAAACGGGCATCGACGTGGTTGCTGGGAGAATGGTTTGAAGTGAAACTCGGTGTAGCGTTTACTCGAGTAAACGTTTGTTTGAAACGCAAAGACACGGGAGGCGGGTTTGGTTTCGTGTAAGTTTCATCGCAGATAAACGAGCCTAAAGAGTAGCCACATTTAGTTGCACGTCCGCAGCAGCCGTACGAACGCAGCTTGCTAGCCATTTTCACTGACAGGCCGCGTCCCCACGGCTGCTGTGGACGCGCAAATAAATCTGTCTATAGTGTTTCTTATCGATGTGCCATCGATCGTTGCGGGAGGTGGAGAGGGTGAAGCGAGAAAGAAGTGTGTTGCGAGCGGGCAGAGGGGCTGGCAGATGCTGCGGGTGGGGGAAAGAGTGACATCAACGCACAGCAGCGACTTGACCTACTTGCACTGCTCCAACACCTGCGGCGAGGAGGTTTGAGCGGACGTACGGGACAGCGCTACACAGGCTAGTCAAAGAGCTGCTTCGCATCTAAAAAGATGCAAGCGGGCCACTTACTTGCAATAAGTCTGCAACAGAAGTTCAAGAAAGTGATATCGAGAACGAAGTAGCCGATAATGGTACTGTTACCTAAAAACGATGTGTCGTTTGCAAGTATTCGCTGATCCGAGCTTGCTTTTGTTTCAGGCGAATTTAAACTGTGTACGCCTGCCTAAACAAACCGTGTATTCAGGGAAAGATTACGTCCGGTCGCCTTCCCTGATTGGTCCGCAGGATTTAACTAAAGAGTGGTATGCCTAAGAAACAACCTTTCGGAGACCATCTTTTTGTAATCAAAATAGTTGCGATGATGCAGGTGCTCTTTTTCGGATGGAACGTATGTGTTGTGTTTTTCGAATTCTGCAGCACGAACTAGACTCCGTCAAAACTAATGGACAGGCACCTCATTAGCACGGGAAAGAACGTTGGGCTTGAATTATACTCTGTATTTTTTCGAATAAAGGGAGTCATGTCTAGAGGCCTAATTGACAGCAGGGTTGTATGTAGAAATTTTTCAAGGCACCTCCTTGATATAAAGTAGAGGCAGGGTAGATAAATTGTCACTTTGCACTATGTATGCATGGCGGCCGAGAGGGTGCGGGCACTGGGAAGGCCACTCCCTAGCCTGACACACTATATTGGGAAGTGTGATAGCTTACAGGAAGTATCAAATATTGGTATAAACGACGTCTGTAGGATAGAGGTCATTGTACCCTGCAATAAAAGTACACGAATTGAATTTTCCCCTTTCAGGTTCACACAGCTTTCACCGATCGATCGGAGGTTTTTACGTGTATACTCACCCGACAGGTCAAATATGACACAGCAGGTGGCCCCGAGAAGACACCAGAGCTGCAGCCTTCCCTTATTGGGCCGGACCTTCATCGCGTTCTTGAAGCTCTCAATCAGGTTCTTCAGCTGAACGAAGTTCTTCAACCTGAGCGACAGCCCGTCCTTCGCGTGTTCGGGCTTGGCGAGGCTCTTGATGGCCGTGAAGGTCCAGACGAGCGCTAACAACTCTAGCGTCAAGGACGCAAAGAGCACGGGCGTCCAGCCGTAGCGACCGTACACCTGGCCACCCACGTAACTGCCCAAAGGACCGGCCAGCGACATGGCTATGCTGATGGCGAAGAACTTGATGCGCTTACGGTCCTCCCTGGTGGACAGAGTCGCCGTGCTGCAGATGGCCGTGAAGATGCTGATGGGTCCTCCGCACAGGCCGTCCGGAACCATGGAGAGTATGTTCACGTAGAGTGGCGTCGCCATGTGGTACACGGTAAAGATGTCGATTAGCGTGCTGGTCATGAATCCCAGCATGGCACTCACCAGAGGCGTTCGGTAGCCGTACTTGTCGCACCAGGGCCCGACGAAGATGGCCATGACCGCTGAAGGCGCCAGGAGGACGACGGCGCGCATCATGCTCGTCGTGCTCGCGTACTGCTCAGCCTCGTCCTTGACGTCCACGAAGTCGTCCAAGTGCGAGCAGACGCTGGCGTTCTGGGCGAGCTTGTAGAGGCACGACTTCTGGAGTAGTAAGTCCTGGATGACGGTGGCGCTCATCCTTCGCGCCACCAGGTAGAGTGCCAAGTATATCTCGAGCCTGGCGACCAGTAAGGCGTCGAGGGCGCGACGCCAACACGATGCGCTCTTGATGTCGACGTCGCCGACGAACTTGTTACTCTCCGATCCGGTGGTGTCCCCGGTGGTGCAGTCCACGAGTGACGACGGCTGATGGTGGTCGACCGAATTGGAACCTGAGTCGTCGGGCGCTTCGGCCTGAGATTCTGCATCGAGTTGGGCACTCATCTCGAGAATGGGTGGTCCAAGTGTTCTGATTGGTTTCTCCTTCTGTTAAAGCAGAATAAAATGGAAAATTAATTCACTTTTCTGCAAAAGGTTTCTTGAAACAACTTATAAGTCAGGTTTGACGGGTAGCTCGGGTCCTGCCGATTCTGAGCCTGTCGGCCGCAAGTGCTCGCACATGATTTATAAGATTTGTGTGCGCTCCACATCAATACTCGTCGATAGGGATTTTGCACTAAATAAAACATCTCTAAACGCGGTGAGGACGGTGTCTGCGCGTTGTACGTATGCAATCACTTGAAGAGACACGTGAAAAGGCTAAATGAATTTATACTGATAAATTATTCCTTGAAAATCTGTATTGTTAAATTCGCATGCATATTAGGTTTGTTATTTAAAAAACAAGTCTAAATTGCATTTTTTCTAATCAGGCGCCGAATTTCCTGTCAAATCTATGCCTCTCTGGAAAAACAGTATTTCATCATTATAAGAACCTATAACGTCGCTGTTAGCAACGTGAACCGGGGTCGCCACGTCAATTTTCGAAGGTCCACTTACGATTCACGCGACAAGAGCGGTGCGTTTCGTATCCTGAAAGGGTATAACCTACGAACTCGCGAAAATTGTTTCACGTGACTCTGTCGCACCGCTGGTTCCGGCTCAAGATATTGCCACACGAATGTCGCGAATGTGACGTCGCATGTCTACAAAGACGCAACCGCGCATTGTGTGCATCTGTTTACAAAGGAAGTGTTCGCAGGGAATAACTCGACATGCTTCCGCACTAGACTCCGACTGGTGCGGCTGCCATTGGACGATTCAGTATATTGCTTTCTTGTGGTCATCGAAACGCAGGCCTTCAGGAATCTCGCGCATCCACAAAACGCTTTTTTCAAGCGGAACCGCTTGTATCGAATTGATTCTTCCTTAGAAGCTTCCTGATGCTCGTATAATTCCGTTGTGTTTGGTTTTAAAAAAAAAGCAAGAAAAGAGCATGCACGAATGTACTCACTTTCGTTTCGTTCTATCCTCGAGGGGTTCTTATTGTTACATTCTTTCCAGGTGGTATAGCCTAATGCAAAGGCCAGTAGGCTGTTGTGGGTGACTCGCAGCTGTGCTTCACTTTGTTAGTTTTGCTGTAAGAGTCGGGTACGCATCTCATTACGACTGGCTTCGTTCTGGTTACGTTCTGATCTCAATTTGACTAGTTACACTACTGCAGTTGTGACAGGGCAAAAGTTTTTCGCTCACGTGACTGTACTGTCCCGTTACGGCTCACTAATCGCTCTTGGCGCGAGCGCTGCTGCGGTACTTGCCTTGCAAAGCCGGCTGCAGTCCGTGCGACGAGATACGGACCGCTTGCGCGCTAGACTTCCGTTCGGCTTGTCTTGTCAACAATGTATACATTTGCAAGCGAGCAAAAAGAAAGCCAAAAAAATCAAACAACGAATGTGGGTCTGACGCACATTGCGCGTGCATTGTGTCTCTGCTGCGTGATCGCTCGAGCGAAAGTATAACGATAACGCGAAGAATGAAAGCCGTTATCGCTGCTCACTTCACCCTGTTGAACGAACGCCCTCACCGGACGGCAAGTCGCGCTGATCAAGCAATGGGTTTCGTTCGATAGCCGCCTATTCTGAACTTACGATATAACGCTTGCGAAAAATATCCCTTTATCATATGCGTAAACAGCAATGCTGGATGATTCTGGATCAATTCGACCGCTGGTGCGTGGTTCTTCAAGGTGTGCCCAGTGCACACGAGCTTCCCCTGTCGCAATGCTTGCTGACAATCGAAGGTTGTCGAACCTACGACATGGTGTTTGTTTGGCCGTAAGTTACAAGCGCTGCAAGAGGCTGCAGTTGCTAAACAGTTCTTTTTTTTTTCCTTATGGTTCAATTCGCTTACCTTGGCTAATTGACTTCACAACTGTGCCCCGCCACGGTGGTCTAGTGGCTAAGGTACTCGGCTGCTGACCCGCAGGTCGCGGGATCAAATCCCGGCTGTGGCGGCTGCATTTCCGATGGAGGCGGAAATGTTGTAGGCCCGTGTACTCAGATTTGGGTGCACGTTAAAGAACCCCAGGTGGTCAAAATTTCCGGAGCCCTCCACTACGGCGTCTCTCATAATCAAATGGTGGTTTTGGGACGTTAAACCCCACAAATCAATCAATCATCGACTTCACAACTGTCGCATAGAATGTTTTAGAGCGTTCTACACTGACTCCATAATGTGTAAATGGTGTAAAGTTGAAGGCTTCACTCGTTCTTCCAAGTCGCGCACTGTGGGGATGCCCCAATCGGGAATCAGATTCGATTCGCAGAACCTCTCCGCGACCGATGGCAGAAAACGCTGCTCGGCTCCGATGCACAGGAACCAACTTGGCATGCGCCCGTGTGTGCGTGTCTGCACGCACATGCGCGCGTCTATGTGCGTGCATGCATGCGGTTAATGCGCAGAAAGAGTTCTGCGTACCGTTCAGTGTCGTGTATTGTCACAATTCGAGCCGAGTTATCTTGAGGCGTCATTTGGTGCATGATTAAGATTGCAGGATATATATTGCGGAAGCACGAGGTTTCTACATGCCGACGAGACCTTGGCTAGCCTGCATGCAGATTCATAGCTCGCACGCGTTTTTCGCGTGTCCTGCTGGTGCAGAAATTTCTGTTGAAAGTAAGGACGTCATCATGCGAAGGCTTTTTTTTTTTTCAATTTGTCAGTCGAACGTCGTATACTGGTGGAGCAGTTTGTTTGCCCGCGTATTATCTACGCCCTCTCAGACTCATCTCGCGCTCGGAAACATTTTTCAGCTATCTTCTTATAGTTGCGATATATGACATCTGATAGGGTGACAAGAACATTTGATTGCGCTGGCGCCAGCTAAGTGTTTTTAAAGTAAAACGTACATGACGCAAAAGTCAACGCGAAACTTCAAAACCTACGCGTTGCAGCCACTGATCTCCACTAGGGTTGTTGCAGCGCGTAAGCTTTTGACGCGGCGCCGCGCCCTCTTCCTGTGGAGAGAAAGGGCACGCAGCTTCGTACAGCCGCGCGCCCTCATTCTCTACAAGTAGATTAGGAGAGGGCGTGGCGTCGCGTCATAAAACCACGCGCTGCAACGGTTAAGTGTGGTCAGGCCTTTACGGCCGGTGCGCTGGCGCCTACACGAGTGATGAAAAAAATAATAATAATTACGTGATGACGTCACCAGATGACGCTATCATGGCGTCGCATAGTACTTAAGGTAGTGACGTTCATATGAGGTCATCACATGACACCATAACTTGGTCAAAGCATAGAGTTTCTCTATGGGTCACGGTGGACCGATCACTGAGGTGAGGCAAAACGAAATAAAGTGCAGAAAGCTTGCAATGCCACCGATCCTGGAGGCAGAGCAAAACCACGTTAGGTGTACAAAGCCTTCGGAGGGCAGCGGGGTAGAATGAATTACATTAGAGGTACTGCACATGCTTGGTAGTATATATAGGGACTAAGTCTTAGGCGAATGCAAAAAAAAAAAAAAAAACGTGAGTATCAGCATTGCGACGGAGTCAGTTTATCTTGAGTTACAGAGCTATCGAGAGGGGGAGGGGGGGGTTGGAGTTATATGTTGGAAAAAATGTAACGTTTACAAAATCTGAGCTGCGTGGGGGGGGGGGGGGGGGATTAGCGTTTATTGATCAGTATGAAAGTTGACAGCGCGTTTAACTGCCAACCTTCCCTTCGCTTTCTTTCTTTCTCTTTCTGTGTTCAAACCTCCACCGTGATAACAACTGTAAAGTGTAACGCAGCCCCATGCACCAACAACCACGGCTTCCTATAGGTGCGGCGGCAAACCATGTACTCGGAGTAACAAATGCCAATCTCAAATGTCATGTTTTCGTGCACCGAGAGACAACTACCCAATTAAAATTCAAATACAGCTGATATCTTACGAGACTTAAAATAATGTGCGATTGTGCAGCTGCAAACAGCAAAAAGCAATCGTTCACGTCGGTTACGCACAAAGCTTCTGGTCTAGTACACTGTACTACTGGACTGGCTGTCCAGCATACCCGCCCATGTATCGAAGTGAAGTCGCGGCGGCCATATTGCTCAGGGCGGAAGGTGGAGGCGCCTGCTTTGAAGCGCCGTAATGCTGTGTTTATTATTCTTAGGCGGCGAGGGAACGAGGGCTTTAATTAATATGCTTTAATTTTTCTTTCACACTTGGCGTTCTAAGCGTGTTAAAAGAAAGCCAGATCTCCACGGAGCGCGCAGTACAGTCGCAGGGAACGCTAGAAGAGCGGTCTTTCAGAGCTTTTTCTAAACACTCTTTGGGATGCTACAAGCAGTCTGCTGTGTACCCACAGCGCCATAAATAATAATAAATTTTGTTTCGTAGACCAGCATTTATTATGCTATCCTTCATCACTCTGTGGAGAAGCGTGTCCGCTACGCACTTGTTGGAAAGTTTTTGCAGTTTTTTTTTATGCAGTGGCTGACCCCGATGAAGAAATATGCGAGAAGTGGTTATGCGGCACAGTTAAGGCGTGATTAAGAACACGTTTTCTAATGGCCCCGCCATGGTGGTCTAGTGGCTAAGGTACTCGGCTGCTGACTTGCAGGTCGCGGGATCGAATCCCGGCTGCGGCGGCTGCATTTCCGATGAAGGCGGAAATGTTGTATAGGCCGTACGGCCCTCTACTACGGCGTCTCTCATAATCATATGGTGGTTTTGGGACGTTAAACCCCACATATCAATTGGTTGGAGCATTGGACGACCAAGTCGTTGAGCAATTCGCATTGTCTGACACCTGGCTGTTCCTTTGATGTCAAGCCTGCCAAAGGCCAGCTTAAAAACGAGTTACAAGCACTGGCGTGGCTCAGTGGTAGAATACTGGACAGGCACGCAGTGGACCCGGATTGGAATCCCATTGTGTTCGGGGGTGGCGGGATTTTGACAGCTCCATTAATTAGAGGCGCTTTAGGAGAAAGGGTACTTCCCTGATTTTTTAGAGAAGCTCGTTTCCTTTTTCTCCTACATTAAAAGAAGCATAACGCAACGAATCAGAAATTTTGACATTGGGAGCGTAGTGCTTTTGCAAATATAAGAAACTCAAAATCCCAGAAATGCAGAGCCGCTGCTACGTTAACTTCCTTAAGCGCTCACTTAGGCACACTCACTTATCGGCTTTTTTAAGTGCGCATGGAAACGATGCAAACACGGTAGTAATTTTATAAGCCCGCCGTCTCGTTATTTATCTTGTCTCGTCGAAGCAGACTGATTCAACATGTGTACTGAACATAAGTCGTCATTATTTTTTGGCGCTTAACCTTCTCGCCTCATAGCGCTCTCTCATGTGCGGCGCATTTCGTCTTTGGAACCCTTAAACGTACAAAAATTATTGAAAGTATGTGTGCACCCGGACGCAAAAAGAAAATCTATCTAGTCGCGAACGGAGTAGTAGTCGCAAAAATATGTGAGGAATTCAAAGCGAGCGGGCGAAGCGTGCAGCCTACTTGCACATCGAAAGTTGTGCCCGGTGTCCGCTTCACACGATTCGCGCAGCCAAATTCTACCCAAGAGCCCACCATCGTCGTCTTTAAATGTCATCACAGACGTGTTCAAAACCATCTTGTTCAATTAGAGGAACCACACGCAACATTATTGACACAAAAACAACGCGTAAGCCACTCACGCTACAATGCACCCATCCGCTTTCTGCCCTGAGCAATATGGCGGCGGTCGGCTTCAGCCACGAAGCCCCTCCGCCACTCCAGAAGAATTTCGTTTACTTTGGGGAAGCCACATCGAGCCAAGACTCGGCTTCGATCGTTGATTCCCATAGAGCTCATGCGTTCATATGGCGAACGAAGCGGTTATGCCGTTGTTATGTCATCTGTCTTTTTTTCCTGCCTTTCCAGTGCAGTCAGCTGGCCTGGAGCTGGCTACAAATGCGTTCCTTCGCATTCTTGCGCGAGTGGTTGTTCGCTTGTGCTTGCGTAATGCCAGACCGCTGCGCGTAAGTGCTGATAACGCGGGAAAATGCAACCCAGCGCTGTGAATTACCTGAGCGGGACACTTCTGAAGTTATGATCGTCTAGTGCCCTTGCTCACAGCTGTAAACTCGCCCCGTCGGCGAAAGCAGCGAAATGCCTACGAACCGGCCGTCTTCCGAAACTGAATGTGGAGACGAAGGTCCGCCTTCGCCAAGAGGTTCAACAGCATTTCTTTTTCTTCTTAATTGCTAATTTACCTTGCTGTTTTGGTGCTGAACTCCACAGTCGACTATCGTGTGACGATCGTGCTTTTTTGGAGTTGTTTACGGTGCTTTGTGCTGTGCATGAATCAGAAGAGCAGGAGCGGTTGTTGTCGATCGCGCTTTTGTAAAAGTTGTTTACTGTGCTTTGTGCCGTACATGAGTCAAAAGAGCAGAAGTAGTTGTTGCGCCCTGTTGTCATGCGAAACCGAGTCCCTTTACTCCGTTGATCGAGTGGGCGAGGCGAGAGGCGTCATGGGAACAGACGGAAGTCATAAAAGTTACGACTATTACGACACAGAGTGCAACCGCGATCGCGATCTAGCTCCTTGATCGTGGTTGGCTTATTCGCGCGAGACGTCTCGATCGCGATCGAAAGTGCGCGTGCGACACCTGTGTTGAAGAACGATCGCACAACTTTACGGGACAGTAGTAAATATGTGCGTACTCACAAGGCGCTGAAAACTCGGATCGCTGCGGCCGGGCATACCGCAGTCGTCTTCGGCGAAACAACGAAGGCCGTATTTCGACGCGTGATTGTTTCCGGCCGACGCTTCTTCGGCGCGCGTCAGCGAGTGCGCTGCGATATTTGCCGCTTCCGCTGTGTGCGTTTGTTTTCCTGCGCGCCGGGATGCGACGGCACATGTGGCCCCGCGTCCTCTGCTACGTGAAGCGGAAACGGGATTGAATCACGCGGATGTACCAGCATTCACGGCCCTGTATTGTGCGCTTTTTGTGTGCTTCCCTCATTTGTAACATGTTCAGCGCGTGCAAATGGCTGTCTCCGTGGTGAGGTAATTCGCAATCGTTTAACGAGTGGCGTGTACGGGCGCGCGGAACCTGGGCAGCTAGACGACACGTGAGACTGCGTGTGCTGTTTTGTAACAGCTACGCGGAGAACGGTTTGTGTGGTCATATGGAAAGAGGAGTTGCCTTCTCTAGATAGATTAGTAGTACAGTGTAACGAAGGGAGAGAAAAAAAAAAAAAGACTAATTGCGGCAGTGAACAAGTATGAACCATTTTAGCAGGAGCGTGGCCAGAAATCCTTTTTCGAGATGTTGGGGGGGGGGGGGGGGAATCAACTACTCTTTATGTGTGTATGTTCGTGTTAGTTTAATGTATCTACACGTCAAAATAGAAAAAAATTCAAGGGCCGGGGAGGGGGAGGCTTGAGCCCGCAACCCCGTGAATATATGCCAGTGTATTGTAGCGCAATAAAGTGTTATGGCAAGGTGAACTTGTGTCTGAAACCAGCAACAAAAAAAGACAAACCTGCAACGGAAAACGGATGTTACCGTTTTTCAAAGGGGCCAACTATCATTGATACAACCTAAGTTAAACTTGACTGTTCAGTCAAGCTTAAACAACTCTCTGATATTGCATACATCAGGGAGCTGATATTAATACAAGTGCTTGGTATAGTGCCAACCTTCTCACTTTTTTCATGCTGCCTTCACCTTCTTGCATTAGCTTGCTGACCAATTCTTTGTGTATCGTTAGCAGTGAAAGTGATTCATTTCATTAAAACAGACTGTTGAAACTTGAATGCTCTTGTGGTCTTGGAGAATTTCGAAGGAAAAGCTATTGAATTCGATAACTACAGATGAGGTCCTGTATGCATGCCTCACAATACATGAAATATTACAGTAATAATGCATGGACAAGCGCACATTGCCACCAGGCGTTAGAACATGCGATTACCATAGTGGCTTCATGGTTTAAAGCTGGTCACTCACTACAAAAAAGCACACATGTTACTGCGCCTATTCTCTTAAGGCCATGTAGTGGGTTCATGCACTAAGTGTTTAAAGATTTCATGCACTAAGTGCTTGAAGCGTGCTAGGGACAGGATGTCGCTATCGCATTCAACTTTTAAAGGCAAAGCCCAAGGGTGCCCCCAATTTTTTCATCACTACAAGCTTCCATCTTCTTCTCAACTTCTGCATTTTTTCATAATACTGTCTTGCTTTTGAGATGCTAAACCCAGTAATTACCATATTTCTTTGTGTATAACCCTCACCGAGAATTGGGAAAATGTGCTTTGAGAAATTGGTGAAGCTTGCGTAATGCTTGAAACAGAGAAACTGGAAGATTATGAATACTAGTCTGGTTGCTTCTAGGTTGTTTATAGGTAATAGCTTTTAAAAAAGTACTTGAAAAAAAAAAAGTACTCACTGGGCCATTAAACATCATAGATGGATTTAGATTCTAACGCAAACTTCTTTAAACAAGCAATAGTCATTGAAAGCACCTATGGAATATCGATTAAATTTCAAATTATTAACAAAAAAAGTACCAACTTTGTTTTGCTAACAAGGCTTTCGTTCTTTTCATTTAAAAGTAATCTTTTATTCATTTCCAGCTTGAATGTAGGGCTTTGAAGTTATCAGGAAAATGACTAAATGACCTTTAAATAAACCAGTGGAGCTATTAACTGCTTTGCATTAAAAATTCAAAATTCAACTACAGCTACAGAAAACTTTATTGTAAATGATGCCTGTTGATAGAGTTCCACCCAGTGAACTCATTTCCTCAAAGAAAAGGGTGATGACCAGTATGTCTGCAGTGGTTGGAGCTGGAGACGCCTAGATTTAAGCAGTTGGGCCTATTTTGTGCAATGAGTGAGATGGTTCCTTTGATAAATTTCTGGCAAAACTGGCTGTGACAACCTCGACTTATTGGCAACACTTTTTTATACAGTTCCGGTATTCATTTTTCTGCAAGGCGAGGAATTTCATGCTCACTCATTTTTTTGTACAGTAGCAGTAAAGGTCACTTTTGCAATTACTGGATTCAATAAACACATAAAGTATTGCCTGAATTCTTGTTCATTATCAATTCAGAAGTAAGAAGCAATTAGGTTGTTATTGCTCATGTTACAGAACAATTGTGAATGGAAAGGGTTGATATATTGTCAATATCCACATCAGAAATAAGATTAACTAATATAGAGCTGGAGGGTTGAAAACCAACAAAAAACATGCTTTTTTCTCATCTTCCATGTAAAATTCATCCGCAGTATAGGCGATGTTTTTAGCAGCGACTGCTGTTGCACTGCTCGAGTTTTGTGTCACGCTGTGTAAAAATACCGCACTGAAAGAAGTCCAGTGAGTGTATATTCCAACAACAGCAAAAGGAAGTTATTGCTGCTTGCATTTGCCTTGCAGCCTTGTAAGTCAATTTCTATTGTATATACGCTGACCCTTTCCCTTTGGCGGCTTTTATAATCATACATGATTTTGGGACGTTAAACACCAACAATTATTACTGATCCTTTCTCTTCATACCACAGATCTTGGAAATAAACTGAGGCGCACACGCAATCTTGTTGGCTTTTGGTAATGTCTTTTTTTCTCTCCATAATAAGCTAAAGGGAAGTCATTGTGTTGGTGGTGGTGGGATTGCATATATAATTGCACAGTAGTTTTAGGCCTGCTTGTCTAGTGGTGTTGCTTACAGATGCCTGCTCTTTCATCGATAGTTGCTTGTGAAGTGTCACAATGTTGATAGCGCCCGTCGCGTTTTGCTCGAGTCAGCAGTGTAGACACAAGCGGGATTTGTGCTAAAATGAATTCGCTGGTGCACTGCATGTCCCGTGCAGTTGTTGAGAGTGCAATGAGGCCTTTTTATGTTGAATTACGCAGACTGAGACATCGCCCAGTCTCTTTTTAAAACTGAATCTGCCACGCGTTAAAACTTCAAAACAACATTTTGTTCAGTTAGCCTTACGGTATTGCATGGTTTGCGGGATCAATTTTGCTGCTCCAAAAACCAAATCCAGTGAACTTATTTTTCGCCACTAGTGAAGCGTATGCATTGTGTGCCCACTGGTGGGTCTGTCTCTTAAGTAAACCGAGAACGTAATTGCGCATGAAGATTTTGTGAATGCCCGTTCCTAGCAGCCAGCCCATCCACCATCTAAGTTAAATTTGTCGACAGTTGAAAGTTCTTGCAATAAAATGACATACAAGCGAAAGCATACTGGTCGAAAAACTCTCTCATCAGTCAATTTATTCAAACTCATATTGAGCTGTGAGTCTGTGTCTGTGCAAGTCCCATTTCACCTGAGGCGAATTTTGGTGAGTTCGAGTACGAGTAAGCCCTAAACAGAAAATATATTAACGCAACAGAATTAAAGAGCTCGTTTCGCAGAAATTCTGGTGTCGGCGTAGGTGTCGTTGGTTGTGTGCGAAAAATCATCTTATGCATGACCCAAAAATCGACAACGATGTAAATAAGATTAATAAATGATAAAATATCCTGGAGCAGAGTGGAGACCGAACCAGGGCTGTTTGGGTCTGTGTGGGGATGATCGAACCTGGGCCGTTTGCGTGGCAAGCGGATGTTCTACCACACTACTACACCCCGGCTTGTAAAAACAGTGAAAAGAACTTTCTCTGCATGTAAATTCAGTGAAAGTAGCTTTCGTGCTTCACCAATACACGCGTCCAGTATACATGCTTCACAATGCAACATGAAATATTGCAGTAATAATATGTGGTACAAGCGTCCATTGCCAGTGGGCATCAGAATATGTGATTATCAAATGGCTCCGTGGTTGAAGGTTGGTACCCTACTACAAAAGGTACATACGCTACTGTACTTATTTCCTTAAGGCAACGTATAGCGGGTGCATAGCAAGTCAAAATGTTTTCATGCACATAGTGTTTAAAATATGCACTACAAACAGGATGTCACTATCACGTTCAAGTCCTAATTAGTGTCTTCTAATTTGTTTGTAAATGAGTCTCAATAAGCACTACTTTTTTTTTTTCGACCTATCAGCAAAAGTCAAGGAAGACTTCTTAACTGATTGTAATGCACGCTTGGTCCTTAGGTGTAAACATTGCTTGCATAGTGAATAACTTAGTGCACAAACTGAAATGTCTGACTATGAACACATCACTTATGAGTATCGTGACACATTCATTCCAGGTTGTTGGGACTGTGTAACAACTATGCATATGTCGTCATGCTCAGCGCTGCATTCGACATCCTCAACAAGGAAGTCAGCCCACACAGTGTAAGAGATCTGTGGCCGCATTGTGAGCATCGTTCACCAATCCTTTGCTGTTCCCGTGCAGGTCACGGTAGATCCGCATCCACCGAACAATACAAGATGCAATCCGACATCTACTGGAGTACGTTTGCTTCATTTTAACCACTGTGTGACCGCATGAGACACATAGTGTTTAAATTGCCTGCAGTTTCGTAGATCTTTGGCTATGCCATTACTAGAGAAAAACCTAGTGCTAGTGTCTGCATGCGCTCCAATACTGCTGTTCATCCGATAGCACATTTGCTTGAACTTTTTACTTTTAACATCCAACAATGTTGGCATTCTTAGAATAACATCTTTTTGGTTTTTTCTATATTTGTTTCATTTGGCATCAAATCACAATTAAAGGTTAGTAGAACATTGCGAACAAAAGTCAAGTATTTATAACTTAAGAATCAATTACACATGCTTATTTCAAAAAGACAAGAGTACACGAAAAGATTGTGATTTCAAGTAATTGACAGTTAGGCAACGAATGTCATCTGAGCCACAATTTCTTGTTGAAACATCCACTAATGATTGTTATGTTTTGCGCCTATATATAAAATTATATTTAGAAGACTTCATCTACAATTAACTGCATGCATGTTCAAATGTGTCAAGTTCAATTAGTTGTATTTATAGATTGGTAAATGCAGAACACACTGAATTGCAAATTTAGAAAGTGTATTATCTATTCGCTATGCTGTTGAACAGATTTCGTACTCACTAAACGTTAACAGCAAAATTGTATGCTTTTTTTCCTTTGCCTTATGTCCGAACGCTAAAATAATACGGAGTGAAGTGCGCAATATTTGTTTACGTAGTTAATAGACAAACTGATTCATGCTACCTTTTACTTTTCAAGGCTATCCTTCTTGCGGATATCTTGCCAGCACTTTTTATCAAGCTCACTGCCCCTTTCTTCAACATAAATACAAGGTATGATGAAGCGAGTACGATTCTGAGGTGCTATTCTTTACAACTTTTTTGTTGAAAGTTCGCGTGCATAAATTATGCAGATGTGTTTTCTGTTGCGTTATATTTGTCCTGCAAAAAAAAAAAAAAGACAATGATATGTCCCGTTTGTACAGCATTAGCAAGTAGTCTTACATGTGTTTATTAAATAATCTGCACCGACATCACTAAAGAGACGTGTGACTTGAAGGATTGCAGTCATAAACGCGCGAGCAAACATTTGCATCATGCCATGTAGTGCGTCGCCAAAAGGAGTGGAATTCTAACCACTCTATAAACATTTTTTTTCAAAAGTATGAAATAGGGTGTGCTACTTAGATTTAGTTGATATGTCCGGGACAAAAATTGCAGGTAGACATTAGTCTTGTACAGTAGCCACTCAGTAAACGGAAATTTGTTAAATGGAACTACAGCATAAAGGCAACTATTATCTCTGCAATGCTTGATTTTGGACTTGTATTCTGCACCCATGTTCACCTCTCAGTAAATGGAACTCCTGTTAAACGGAACATATTTTCCCAGTCCCTTCAGGTTCCGTTTATTGAGAGCCTTCTGTGTATTATATTCTGTGACAACATTTTTCTATAACAATAATTTTATGAGCTGGCACAATTTTTGTGAGCTTTGCTGTGTATCAAACATGACTCATGTTCTAGGTAAAGCAAGAGTATTCACATCAACCAATGAAGCTGAACTAATCATCAAGTCTGGACTTAATCCAGGTTGAGCTAATTATTCAGAGTGCCTGGACGTAATTGCTTGGGTATCTGCTATTTCATACAGCCAGATTTCAGTGAGTGCGCCAAACCGTCACTGAAAATTCCTGGCATTTGAGCAACCACTGCTGGCGTATAAACGTGGCCTCCAATATTATGGCACGTTGCAAAAAACCCGGGCAAAAATGCAGATATATATACAAATGACAGGTAGAGGGCTTGCTCAAGACATAGTACAATTCCTCTTGTTTAGTTGCGCTCATCGTGTCATGTCCTGCGTGTTTAAAATTCATGGCAGCCGTGTGTCTATCACAATGTGAACTGAAAAAAGCCGGAAGTTAATATCAAAGTTTGAAGAGATAAGAAATTTGTGAACGTGGGGTGCCATTGTAGGTGATGTTTCGGGACAAGGGTACTTGCCATCTTCAAGGCTGTAACTGCATCTGCAAAAGCTTGCATCCTTGAAAGTGAGAAGTCTGCTTGCTGAAACATCGGCTGCAGTGGCACCCCACGTTCAGTATTTTTTTTAATCTCTGCAATGAGAATTGGGAACCTACATAGATACCAGTAACAGGATCAGCTTTTGATCAAATCTTGATCGCGCTTATATTTGTATTGATGGCTGCCATAAATAGACTGAAACGTTTCTGAATCTGAGCTGTGCTGCTCTTCATCTTTTCTTCTGACAGCGTTCAAGTTGCGACGGTTGTCCTGCTTTCCTGCTCAAGTTTTTTAATGACCTCTTTTACTATAGCCAAATGGATGTCCTTTCTCGGTAAGTTAATCTAGATTAAACAGCACAGAGTAGCTGCGCATATTTCTTTTGCATGTGAGTACTGTTTCTATTGCCATCTGTGTGTGTCGTCACTCATGTTAGTGTGTTGCTCTTTTTTTTTGCATGCGCACTTTAGCTCTTATTTGGCTTGTTAGTGTATGATGTCATGATAACTCACTGCTGTAGCTTAGCAGGTGTGGCACTGTTATGTTGAACACGAGGTTGCAGGTTCAGCTTCAGGCTACAGCGATTTGATTTTGATTAGAGCAAACTGTTAAAGGTGTACATTTAATGTTAAAGGAACACTAAAGGCAGCTATAAAGTCGACGTTGATTGTTAAAATATTGGTCCAGAAACCTGGTAGTGTTACTTTTGTGCGAAGAAAGGGCTTATTTTGAAATAAAATCATGTTTTATTGGCCCACACCGGGTTAGCGTACTTCAAATTACCCGCCTCAAGAAGCGGTCCGACTCACCTCACTGTTGCCGTGCACAATGTTGCCCGGCTTCACTGCGTGGTCGCCGACACTAGTAGACAGAATGAAAGCAGCAGGAGCCACAGCAGCAACAAAGGCCATTGATCGATTTCCTGCCATTGGCTCCGAGATGGCAGACGTGTTTTTGGTTCAACTGCACCCTGCTAGGTGGCACGACCTGTCCAGCGTGACCACAGGAAAATTGAATTTTTGAACCGCTACGCCATTCTCCATAGTAACGTTCGGCGGTTCTTTTTCTCATGAATTAAACAGAAACGAACAAGCAGCCTTTTATTGCGTCTTTTGATTCGTGGGAGGTTCTTTATTTAGTGCTGCTAGATCCATTACTAGTGATTAATTGTAGGGGGTTCATCTGATGTGATCGATATCATTTTGAGAATGTCTTACTGCGGTGCATGTATTCCTGTGCATTTATCTTAATTTCTCGGTAAGTAGGGCACTGCTGTTGATATAATATTATCGTTTAAGATGTTGTCATGCTTTGAGCTTTCACTTTGACGTAAATTGTTATTTGAGTTTAGTGTCCCTTTAAAGGTGTGCATTTAATGTTAAAGGTGTACTACAAAGGGTACAGGAGGCACTCACTGCAGCACATCTCAGTCATGGCATGGTTTTGATGTGTTGGACAGCTGAACTTAGAGTAACTAAACTTTAAAAAAATCATGACCAATGATAACAGAAGGTTATGTAGTTTTCATTGCTATTGGCACTTTTCTTTGAGGGTACAATTTTCTTCTGAGCCAGCTGTTGCAGGTATGTGTAGCAAACTGTGAATGTACATCTCACGTAACTTTTTTATTAATGTTTCCGTCCTTACTTTTTAAACATTATTTCTTCATTTGTTTGCATAATCTTTCTTGATGGTGTGTAAGATTGCTGTGAACTTTTCATTGCTGTGGGACACGTACGCAAGTTATCTGATGACTATGATGCATGCATTTTTAATCTGTTATATATTTTTTCTGCATAGTCATTTGATCGTTTTCACTTGTAAATAGATTTGACGCTTATGCATCGGGCCTTTTAAATTCATTTTGTCTCTGTACCATATCTTTTATCTTGTCTTTTAAAACATTAGGAAAGCACTGAAACTTGTACACGTACTGCAGCTGTTGCCGTACACTTACTGCAGGTGTTGTGTGTGCCGCCCTTGGGAGTGGTCTGGGCGAGATAACATTCCTTGCCTACTCTTCTCACTTTGATACGTAAGTTTATTTTTTCATCTGTAGTTCTAGTGGGATGACCCGTTGTTGTCATCAGCACTGCTATAATTATGAAGTGCACTACAGGACATAGCAAACTCCCACTGATCTCGTTATAGTTTCATCAGCTGACCCCATGGTAAATTTGTAAATTTTCTAACTTGGCCTCTGAGCTGTGTGCTTTTTCACCCTCAGCAGCACTTCTCATGTCATAGAACTTGCACTGTTACTCTCTCGCACTGTAAAACAGGACAGAAGTTCAGGGGAAACGTGGAGGCTTGAAGTTATGAAATATCGTTGAGCAGCAAATGGTGGTGAAACCTTTGAGAAATTGTTGAATAGGGGATGTTACCAGAGTCTTTAGAACCGATGTTGAACAGGGAATGTCACTGACGTTCCCAGTTCACTAACTGTTCAACAATTTTTCACCTTCTGAGAAATTAAGACACTTCCATACCACTGATTGCATTAGCTGTGCCACTGCACTTCATCTTCAATCAGTGTTTGATTGTGTGTTTGCTTATTAACGCACAAAAAGAATGTAGTCTCCTCGCTTACCTGTCCCCGAGTTTAAAAGTTTGACGTGAGAAAGTGAGGTGCCGGGATATGAGCAGATCGGGCCACAGCCTGTGAACATTTACTAACGCACGTTGATTTCCACTTATGCTGTTCCTTCACAAAGATGGATGGCACACGTTTACTGATTCGTAATTTCACGTTTGCTAGACTGTAGAGTCACGAAAAAGATGGATAGACCTTCAAATAACCAACATCATTATCACAAGATCGCAGCGAAATATTGTATGGGGCATGAGCATTAAACAAGTCATCAAAACAGCACAAATAGGATGACCTCTAAACATGTAATGTATGCTAGAGTAACTACACATACAGACAAGTGCCCTTCAATGAACAGGTCTGTTTAACGTAGGCTTTTGTATATCTTAGCAACATTACACGTGTTACAATGCTCAACTACTACAGCAAAGTGAAATCTTGTGTAATTTTGCTGCTGTAGTGGTGTTTGACTGTGTAACATCGTACATCCTCATCTATCATGCTATTCATGCATCTCAACATTATAAAACAAGTTTCAGTTTTTATTCTAATTTTTTTTTCTTTTGTACCATCCTGCTGGAATCGAAACACAACAGTTTGTTTGCATGTACTTTTTTCTATTACAGGGATGTGATATCGACATGGTCATCAGGCACAGGTACGCTGATTCTCTTGATATCATAGAAAGCCACGTTAAGTACTTTTGTTCATTCTTAATCATCCATATAAACTACTATTGTAGACTTCATGTTTCTACAGCCTACCAAACAAATAAGGTCAAGTATACAGTTTTATTTTGTCTTAACACATATATTTTAGCACTCGAGTAAAATTCTTAGCTTTGGTGATTGAACATAAAACCAAACACTCATTTTTTTTATTCGTAGTAGCTGTGGATGAAGTTGTACTTTGGGTGGGTACCTAGCGTAAGAGCACCTTTTCCTAGGTGTGTTATTGCTTAGTTGTGTGGCAGTTGTCCAAACTTTCTAAAGCACTCTCCAAAGCTGAGGCATCATAGCTGATAAGTACCTCTTGTCCTAAGAATGCATTAGCAGCATTAGCACTAGTACTCATTAACTGTATCATCATTTGCAAATATGTAAACATTGCATCAACACAATGTATTTAACATCTTGAACATGTTAGCTTAAGAGATGCCCTTCTTTCATTTTTCATTACTGCTTTTACCACTCAACCTGATGTCACGATTCCTTTAACTTTTATGCATAGTTCAAGGCCTACTCTGTCTGCATACTTGATGCTTAAAGACAGTGTGTCTGTGTAACAAGGCCTACAACAAACAAATAAGATGTCATATGCATTTCATGTTTTTGCACTCAAGTTTCAATTGAGCACAGTAGTGTCCTACTCAGTTATGTATTATGCTTGTAGCCGCTTAACACTGTTTGTCATATCGTCATATCGCAGTTTCTGTGATATATTTGACAGCCCTGCATAAAAGCTTACTTCTATGCCAACTAGCCGTGGGACGTAAACATGTAGTTTGAATGAGGAGACTGAGACAGTCCATTTTTCTGTGTTCATTAGCAATGTTCTGAAATAATTTATGAAGAGGGTGTCATTCCTTTGCTTACTGAGCTATGACTCTTGTGCATAAGAGATATCTGTGTTCCAACATGTTGCTTTCGTGTACATTAGGTGGCGCGGGCGTACTTGGTGCTTTTTCTTACGCGGCCATGGCATCAGTCCTGACGCCAGAGACAACTCTACTCGTTATGCTTTGTGTGCCAGTACTGCTTGCAATCAGGCAAGTGGAACAAACCTTACATGGTGTACGTACTGCACATAACAACGCCCTAAGGAATTGTCAATGCACCGGCGTGATAGAGTCTGTTCAATGCGCACGAAATTTCTTATGTTTATTTATGCAATGCGCCTAACTTTCATTGCATTTGGTACGTAATCATACCAGTTATTTTCACAGCCGTAAATATATAATTGGTCCATCTTATCACCGGTATTTTGTAAGAGCAAATTTATTCTAGATGATGTGCATCACTTGTTAAAATATCCTAACCTTACTCTTGTTTGCAGTTTTATAGATGAATGTTTAGATTGAAATAGTAACTCGGTGACAAAAACAAACATCTTCCCTTGTTTTACTGCTGTTACTGTTGTGTCACTTCAACACTAAAATATTGGCATGGTAGAATCTCTTGGTGCTGCCGATAAGCTGATATGTGCAAACATGAAAGACATTGCAGTTTAGCCAGCATGTTATGGAACAGTTGTTGGTTCAAATTAAACTTGCTCTTTATGTGGTATTTTCCGTGTGGACAAAAAAAAGGAAGAAAAAAAGCGGAGGGGGCTGTGCGCTTTTTATAATTTCTTATATTCTATGTCACCACTGTCTGCATTATCCTAACGCATCAAACAGCAGATCAATCGCAAATTATTTGCAAACAGGGTACTCAAGTCTGTTAAATTTGATGGATTGGATTGACTGGTGCTCGTCATCAAATGTATGCTGATTCCCAAGGGTCCTTTCATAGGTGCTGCGAAAAGTGCAGTGAAATGTATATACAGATTCAATGAGTCCTAGTATCCGACATATCGAATTTTAAGATGCCAAGAACAAACGTGTTGGCACCAACCTCTCCTTACATACATTTAATAAAATAAAAACGTGTTGCACGCAATTTTTCTTTCTCACTGTGTAGTAGTTATAACCCATGAGGTTTTTTTGGAAAAGTGAGTGAGGTAGTGGTTCGCTGTTACTTGGTTTAACCAAGAGTCATCACTGTCTAGATGCGACACTCAGCAACAACAGTAGTAGGAAAATTAATTATTGGAATGTTCTCTACAAACACCGTGCTGGCCTTACCAATCAATGCACACAGAACCAATTCCATGCCCATTAGCAGTGCAAAACAGTACAATTTAATCCCTTTATAAGAGACGCTGATGTAAGAGGCACTTTCGGTATAACGCACACCAGGGCACTGAACAAAAGCAGAGCTTGATAAGAAAACGCATACGTGGTACCCTGTTTATAAGAGCACCTCATATAAAAGACAATGGCACCCCCGCGCATGTCTCTTATGAAGGAGTTTAACCGTATTTGAATTAAGCGTACAACAACGTTAACTACGAGATGGCCGGTCAGTGATGTGGATTCCTGTTGCTCAGCTTCTGGGGAATCCTGGTGCACCCGAAGAAGGATTCGCGGCGGCCCGTCGCCATTCCTGACGAAGAGCCTCTCCTTCTGAGTTGTAGTGGCTGCTCCGAAGAAGAGGAGGGCACACTCACTTTTGTGCAAAAACTCAAGCTCATGAAGGTCAGTCAGAGATTCAGTCGGGACATACAGCGGTGACAGATTTCTCGTGACGTCTGCATTTGATTGCTCAACTTTTTTTTTTCTGTGTGTGTTCAGCTTTGTTCAGATAATGTCGCCGACATTAATGCCTTGCTTAGAACAAACCCTTACTTCGGTTATCACTTTTTTACTTGCCTCGAAGCTATAAAACGATACAATCTTGAAACAAGGTTGAGATATACCATATGTGGTAAATTATACCACTTATAGCTGTTCTTATAAGCTGTCTGAAAAAATTACCAGTCACTTCTTTCAATCAAGCAATGGACTCTCAAACTACAATGGACTCTCATTAAGCAGAACCTGAAGGGACTAGAAAAATATGTTTCATATACCAGGAGTTCCGCTTACTAAGAGCTGAACAAGGCTGCAGAATACAACTACGAAACAAATCTTGTCAGGAGCATATGTTCCAGTTGGGCTGATCCATGACAGCCCAACTTGTACAGGTTGAGGCATACATTGACAATGCTTTCATGCGCGAGCACCTCTCTGTTTTCACAGGCACATTGGTAAAGACATATGAAACAGTGTAGTGGCGTGGAACCTTGCTAGAGATATCTTTGAAAGAGTTATAGATAGTAGCTGATAATTGTAATTGAAAGTTACCCTTCGAAATCGATATTGCGATACTCTGTTCAGGCGATTTATGCATGAAACTGGTAATTTTGCCGTACACAGCATGAAGTAGTAGTGACAGTAAATGCCTTGTTAACCTGTACGAATACCTATGTGTACACATATAAACTACACTGCCTTAGTGTCTCATTCTACCGTATCCAAAACACACTAAAGATAACCAGTAGGGCCAGGAGTCAGAACGTTCAATTCTCATAATGTGAGTGATCATGCGACGTGCATCGCACGATGGTGTCGATGATGATAACAGTGATAAATATTCGTAGTGCACCCATAAGATACAGTGTTATATACTTGTAACGTTGCACTTCTCTCATTCCAGCCACTGCTGAAATTCATGATTCCTCTTGGGTTTGTCTACTTTGCTGAATACTTCATGAACCAGGGGTTGGTACGTGCACACACATCTTTCTTTGAGCATTTTAGATGTCGTAGGTGCAAGTGCAATGGACCGACGCTGCCGTTTTGCTATTGCAGCTCGAGCTAATCGTGTTTAGAAACATAACGCTTACTCACAAGGAGCAATACAGATGGTGAGCACCCAACTGCACATCTATGCATCACACAAATCAGCCAGTCTGTCGTCATGCGTTTGACGTTGTTTCGACGTGGTGCTCGTTTCAGGCTCCAAGTTATGTACCAAGTCGGTGTGCTCATTTCTCGGTCTTCCGTGAATATTGTGCAAATACGAAAGCTGTGGCTGCTCCCAATATTGCAAGTGAGTAAATAGCATTGCACTAGTTCAAGTAACAAGCATCGATGACTGCCTACACATGTGTAATTGATTGATATGTGGAGTTTAACGTCCCAAAACCACCATATGATTATGAGAGACGCCGTAGTGGAGGGCTCCGGAAATTTCGACCTCCTGGGGTTCTCTAACGTGCGCACAAATCTGAGCACACAGGCCTACATTTCCGCCTCCATCGGAAATGCAGCCACCGCAGCCGGGATTCGATCCCGTGACCTGCGGGTCAGTAGCCAAGTACCTTTGCCACTAGACCACCGCTGCTGGGCACCTACACATGTGTATCAAATTTCTTTTTGCACATTATACAAGGTGGTTCTTTTAGAACTGATATATTTAATTAGATTGTAGTTTTGTTACAAATTGACCTATTTTGGCGTGATTTCCAGCAAAACATTCAGAAAGGACAAAAACTTGATGGCCCGTCTCATTTTGTAATCGGCAATGCCAAAAATGTATAATTAATATAAAAATGTATATATACATAAGAAATAACGCAACCAATGCTTGTATCATCTGCCAGAGGGCAGAAACTGCATGTGTGGGAGTACAAAGTTCTTAGTTTTCGCACCAAGGTAATGGGATGAACTTGGCGTCGCCAACTTCCACTGCCGTACAAACGGGAGAAGCCGTTCAATTTTCACCCTTCCTGAATTTTTGCTGCAAACCACATTAAAATTGAGAACTTTGCAACAACACTACAGCCCAATGAAGTGGGCCAATCTCGAAGATGGAATCTGAACTAAGCATGACGTCCAGCTGTGAACAGGGTGCGTTTTGCTAGAAAGCGTGTATTTTCAGACATGTTTGCCTTAACAGGAACGAATTAATGATATTGTTGCGGGTTCGCGGCTATGCAGCTATGCGGGCGGTGCGAAGAAGAAGACGACGACGTTTTTGGGCTGTTCGAAAATACACAACGGCTGCCATCTTGACTGCTGGAGTACTTTTCTACTCTAAAGTAGTAAATACATTCGCAACATTTTGGTGGTGGCGCTGGGTACGACGCAAGACGGAACTTCGAAGCGGACGTGTTCTCGACTGCCCGACCATGGCAACAGAAACCAATTCTGCCGCTCCTGTTTCAGCCGCGACTCCGGCGCAGCCTGTACAGCCGGTCGTATTGACGCAACCGCGCGACCCTGGCAACTTCTGCGGCACCGACCATGTTGACGTTGACGACTGGATTCCGAAGTTCGAGCGGTTTGCAGCAGTGTACCGGTGGGACCCTACGATGATGCTCGCCAACGTTGGCTTCTATCTCTGCGGAACAGCTGGCGCGTGGTTCGAGGCTCATGAAGCGGACATAACCAGCTGGGATACTTGCAAACAGAAGCTTCGTGACCTGTTTGGTAAGGCCGTCGGACGCCAGCGGGCCGCTTCTAAAGAACTCTCTGGTCGGGCACAAACTACGACCGAATCATATGTCACCTACATCCTTGACGTTCTCGCCCTTTGCCATCGTGCCGACCCCAACATGTCCGAGGAAGACAAAGTAAGCCATTTACTTAAAGGCATTGCAGATGATGCTTTTAACATACTGGTTTCCAAAGACTGTTCCACCATTGATGACATCATCAAAGAGTGCCGCCGATTCGAAGAGCTGAAGAGTCGCCGGGTCGCCAAGAATTTCTTGCGTCTTCCGAACACGGCCGCTACGTCATCTTGCGAGGACCTTCAGCCGCCATGCAGTCAACCACATAACAACGAGAGTGTGGTTCGCATCGTTCGTAGAGAAATCGAGGCCGCGTCTCCGTCTTTTCTGACCCGCCCATCTGATGATCGACCAACGATCTCGTTGATCCAACAGGTCGTGAGAGAGGAGCTGGCAAACGTTGGGCTGCAGCCTGTATGTTCGTTGACGGAACCTCGGGTCAGTACCATAGCGCCTTCTCCTGCACCAGAAAGATTCCGCCGCTATCGTGATCCTGCTCAGTGGAGGACACAGGACGACAAGCCTATATGTTTTCATTGTCATGGTGTAGGACACATCTCCCGCTACTGTCGTTTCCGCACGTATCCACCTCGGTCGTTTCCTGGCTATCGACGTGACGACAACCACCGGCCCCTGCAGTACAGCGCTCGTGACGATGGACCGTACAATGGCACTCCTGCGACGCCAGTCCGCCGGTCCAGCCGTTCGCCGTCCCCGCATGACCGTCGCTCCAGGTCACCTCAGCACCGCCGCTATTCGTCGCCCCACCCTAGTGGACGCCCTTCTTCGGAAAACTGAGCAATGCAGCTCCCGGAGGTGACGCTGCATTGGACTCCCGACCTGAAAACCCTCTGCTGACCTTGACTACGGACAAAAACCTGCTTGATGTAGAAGTGGATGGCCTTCCTGTTACTGCCCTTATTGACACCGGCGCACATATTTCAATTCTGAGCTCTGACCTCCGTGCACGATTAAACAAGGTCCTTACGCCGCCAGAGTCCCTATTTGTACGTGTCGCTAGTGGAGCGACCCCGGCTGTGCTCGGAATGTGCACCGCGCGTGTGAGATTCGCCGACCGCCAGACGTCCGTTCTATTCCATGTTCTCGCTCACTGTCCACATGACGTCATCCTTGGACTCGATTTTTTGTCCGACCACTCCGCTGTAATTGACTGCTCAGCCGGCGTCGTGCAACTTGACTTGCCTGCGGCCACCGAAGAGTCGAAGATGGTACAGAACAAGCTTTCGTGCGCTGAGTTTGTTCGCCTCCCACCCCAAGCCCTAACTTGTGTCACAGTTGAACCATATCCCAGTGTTCCGGATGGGGATTACGTGGTCTTTCCCTCTCCTGGGGTTTTACTGGCCCGCAACGTTTCCTCCCCGTACACCATATTAACTGTCACAGCGAACAAGACGTGCCTTCCTCTTCTGAACTTCGGACTCAGCCCTCAAATCCTACCACAAGGCATTGTTCTCGCCACTCTTTCACCGTCACACGAGTGCCAGATCTCATCAGTGTCACGTGAACTGGCCACAGTCGCCTCGCCGAACCCGCATAGCACCGACGCAGCCAACTCTACACGGCTCAACAATGTAACTAAGATGATTGCCTCAGACCTGTTGCCGTCTCAGGTCAAAGACCTCACTGATCTTCTCACGAGCTATTCGGACATATTTGACTTTGACGGTAGGCCCATAGGTCAAACATCGCAAGTCAAACATCGCATTAATACCGGTGATGCAGCTCCAATTCACAGGCGTCCCTATCGAGTGTCACCATCAGAGCGCCAAGTTATCCAACAGGAGGTGAATAAGATGCTCACAAAAGGCATCATAGAGCCCTCATCGAGTCCGTGGGCGTCCCCTGTAGTCTTAGTTAAAAAGAAGGACAATACCTGGCGTTTCTGCGTGGACTATCGGCATTTAAACAAGGTCACCAAAAGGGATGTCTACCCGTTACCTCGTATTGATGATGCCCTGGACTGCCTTCATGGCGCAACCTATTTTTCTTCGATAGACTTACGCTCCGGTTACTGGCAGATCGCCGTGGACGACCTCGACCGGGAGAAGACCGCCTTTGTAACGCCCGACGGTCTCTACCAATTCAAGGTAATGCCGTTTGGCTTGTGCAATGCGCCGGCAACGTTCGAGCGGATGATGGACACGCTTTTGCGCAGCTTTAAATGGTCTATCTGCCTGTGTTATCTGGACGACGTGATTGTGTTTGCCCCAACCTTTAAGTCTCACCTCGAGCGCCTTTCCTCAATTCTTTCAGTATTTCGAGAGGCTGGGCTCCAACTTAATTCTTCGAAATGCCATTTTGGGCATCGCCAAGTTACTATTCTAGGGCATCTCGTTGACTCCTCCGGCATCCGCCCCGATCCCGACAAAGTCCGAGCTGTCCTGGATTTTCCTGTACCGACTTGTGTCAAGGACGTTCGAAGTTTTGTGGGCCTATGCTCATATTTCCGACGATTTGTCAGAAACTTCGCAGAGGTCGCACGCCCCCTCACTGATCTTTTGAAGAAAGATGTACCATTTGAGTGGGGTCCTGATCAAGGCACGGCCTTTTCCCAGCTCATAACACTTCTGACCACGCCACCGATTCTCGCCCACTTCGACCCGTCTGCTCCAACCGAGGTCCGCACTGATGCTAGCGGCTACGGTATTGGCGCGGTTTTAGCCCAGCGTCAATCCGGTCACGATCGAGTTCTTGCGTATGCCAGCCGGCTCCTTTCTCCTGCCGAACGCAATTACTCTATTACGGAACGCGAGTGCCTGGCGCTTGTATGGGCAGTTGGTAAATTCCGCCCCTATTTATATGGCCGGCCTTTCACAGTTACCACTGACCATCACGCTCTATGCTGGCTTTCAGCCCTCAAAGATCCAACGGGGCGCCTTGCTCGTTGGGCTCTGCGCCTCCAGGAATTCACATACACAGTGGTTTACAAGTCTGGCCGTTTACACCAAGACGCCGACTGCCTCTCCCGGTACCCCGTTGACGCTCCAGATCTAGTAACCGACGACGCGTCCATCTGTATTTCCTCGCTCTCTGCTTTCGGCAACATGGGATGTGAGCAACGGCGTGACGCGTCCCTACGCGAGCTAATCGACCGCCTGAACACAGGCTGTACAGACAGTTCGCTTCGCATGTTCGTTGTCATAGACGGCATTTTATACCGCCGCAACATGCACCATGTGGGAAACGAACTACTACTCGTAATACCCACTCATTTGCACTCGACCGTACTTCACCAACTACATGATGTACCAACGGCTGGCCACCTTGGTGTTGCCAGAACGTACGACCGTGTCCGCCGACGCTTTTTCTGGCCCGGCCTCTACCGTTCTGTACAACGTTATGTTAGGTCTTGTGAGTCGTGCCAACGCCACAAAAGGCCAGCGGTACACCCCGCCGGGCTCCTTCAACCGATCGACGTACCTGCCGAGCCTTTCTATCGTGTCGGCCTCGACCTGCTGGGCCCTTTCCCTCTTTCTACCGACGGTAACAGGTGGGTCGCCGTCGCCATAGATTACTCGACCCGTTTCGCAATTACGAGACCTCTTCCAAGCAGCTGCGCTACAGATGTCGCCGACTTTTTGATTCAAGACGTCATCTTACATCATGGTGCTCCTCGTCAACTGGTCACCGATCGCGGTCGCTACTTTTTATCTAAGGTAATTGACGATCTACTTCGTTCTTGTGCAACCAAGCACAAGCTTACGACGGCCTACCATCCTCAAACAAACGGCCTCACAGAACGTCTGAATCGCACACTCACTGACATGCTCGCCATGTACGTGTCGACGGATCATCGTGACTGGGACATTGCGCTACCCTTTGTCACTTTCGCTTACAATAGCTCACGCCACGACACTGCTGGATATTCTCCCTTTTACCTTTTGTATGGAAGAGACCCGACATTGCCGTTCGACACGCTTGTACCCAACCCTGCCGACCTGTCCACAGCATATGCTCGCCGCACTATTAGCACCGCGGAGAAAGCCCGTCAGATTGCCCACCAGCGCCTTTCGGACTCGCAGCTCCGTCAGAAACGTAGCTATGACAGCCACCATCGGGACATCCACTTTAGTCCAGGTGACCTCGTTCTTCTGTGGACTCCGTCGCGACATGTTGGTCTGGCTGAAAAGCTTCTACCCAAGTATTCCGGACCTTATCGTGTGCTACGGCAGGTAACTGATGTTACCTATGAAATAGCACCTCTAAACCCTTCGATACCTTCCACATCTTCCGACATCGTCCACGTCGCTCGCCTCAAGCCGTACATCTCGTCCAACACCTGCTAACAAGCGCCGGGTCGGCGCTTTTCGCCGCCGGAGGTCGATGTTGCGGGTTCGCGGCTATGCAGCTATGCGGGCGGTGCGAAGAAGAAGACGACGACGTTTTTGGGCTGTTCGAAAATACACAACGGCTGCCATCTTGACTGCTGGAGTACTTTTCTACTCTAAAGTAGTAAATACATTCGCAACAATATTGTTGCCGGTTTTCTCACAGGTGACCATTTAGTGTCATAGGGCAGTTTTAAAGTGTTAGGCTGCAACTTTAATCACCAATTTTAGTTGTGCATACTTGCATAGAAAAACCTTAATTTCAAAATTTACGTAGATTTTAGTTACACTCGAATCCAGAGGTGTAGGTTTCGCATTTTTCCAGGTGAAGTGACCCAGCTGGCTTCTAGAGTGGCAGGGTTGGTGAGGCACTCAAGATAAATCTGGTGGTTGGCCCTTAGAGAGGGGCAACCACTGCGAAAAGTCACTAGCTTCGCAGCTGGCCGAACAGTCATCCCCTAAACTAGAGAAACAGTCAGCCCCTAAAGAATAGACTGAACGGGTCTTGAAACGTAGGGCCAGTTTTTAATTTTAATATTAAAAACTACTGACTGAACATGGCTGGAGAGTTTGTTTTGTTCATATAATTTTTTACCCAGCCAGACAGATCTCTGTCAAGTACTATTTTTACAATGTGTATAATGCCTGCTTATCTTTTGTCATGACCACATGTTGAAAGCAAGTGAAGCCCATTGCCATGCTAAGGTTTATTTATTTTTTTAGCCTCCCCCTTCCTGATTGTTATCTAAGTAGTCTGTGAAAACAAACCTTCTTGCAGTAGTCGTCAGTTTACGATAAGCCTTGTATATTTTGATTTGCCGTGCCTATCCAGGATACACATGCTAATGAGAATTAACATTGCAGTGCTTATGGTCTCACATTACTTGTGCAGTTTGCCAATGTGGCCTTCATCTTTTCGGAGGCCTACTCCCTCTACCTGCCGAGCTTCTGGATCGTAGTTGTGGTCGTCCTGTACGAAGGTCTCCTAGGAGGCGCTGCCTACGTTAACACATTCTACCGTATTTCGAAAGACGTGAGTTCGTTCGCCTTTTCTCGGCAAAGGCTCGCCACTCTTCTTACAGCGTAGCTCCCCGAGCCTCTGCATTCCACAGAAATGTGTCTCAATACGTACTGGTTGTTGCTGTACAAATTGTTTGCACCGTTGCCCTACGCATATTATTCAAAGAATGTGCGCAAGAATTTAATACTGGAGGATGCCTGTAGACTATGAAATGGAGAATGGTAGGCCTTAATCCAAGATCATAACATTCTATCAAATGATGAAAGATGCAAGAAATTGATTTATTGTAATGCAAAAGCCAGAATCCCATTGCAAGTGCTTTAATTGGGATTAAGGAGTAGGAGTGGGATTTGGAAATTGTGTAAAACAGATAGTACTAACCAGTGGTTTGTTAATTCATTGGGTGTCAATGAAGTGAGAAGGAAGCTGATAGAATAAAAAAGTTTGCAGGAGTAAGCAGGATGTTAGCGATACTGAACAGGAATTAACGAGAAGGGTGAGCTTCTTTGTATTGTACGGTTCTTTATATAGCTTCATAGCCCACATGAGAGCAAGTTTCAGCTCTGGGAACTCAGATTCACATCTTATGGTATGTAATGAGTAGGGTAATTCATTAATAGCTGCCATACTGACGTCCATGAAATTGTTTTGTGTCTACACTGACAAAATAGCTACCTTGATTGTTGAAAGGATAGTTTTATCTCTGGTTTTCAGATGCTTTTGAAAAAAAGCCATAAATGTGGCTTTCTTGAAATAGTTAATGCAGTGTGCTTACTACTTCTTTACTTTAAACCAGAAACAGCTAATCATAGTCTTGTTAGCTTTGCCTAAAGCCTTATGAACTATAACTATATTATTATGTTCAAAGAAAGCAACCACTAGTTTACAGCTGAAGGGAAACCAGTATACTGTTGACCTGAATTTTGCAGTCGCCTTACTACTAATGTGTTAGCATATTTCATCATGCTGTTTTATGGCACATCACTTAATTGCTTCATAAATTCTAACGCTTCTTATTCAGAGACTTTATCTTGTTCCTTTATTTTTAAACAGTTTCAGTGATTATTGTGAAAGTGTTCATGATATTTACATTACCCTATTATTTACAAATGAATCCGAACAAATTATTGACTGTCTTTTTAAATGCAGTCAATCTTTTCAACTTCAATGTATTGAGCACTAGGCAAAGCAGTTTATTTCCAAGTACTATATATAGATGTCTACCTTCAAAATTAATGCTCAAATAAAAATGCCAGATCACCAATCTTTCAATGAAATAACAAGTTGGGCATTTTTTTTATCAAGCTTGTTTTTGGTGTGCTCTATGGAATTGGCGCTTTTTAAAAACTCACAGTATGCATTTAAGGCTTTCATTGAGTATGTACTTTTCTGTTAAAATACATGAAAATAAAAACAATCACTTAAACATAGGGTGAAGTTGGCTACCCTGCATGGCTTGCAGTCAGGTTTTCTTGTAGTTTTGTAGCAGAAAACGTCAATATGGTTCTCTCTAATGTGATGTGTTCATGAAAGAGCGAATTAATGCATAGACTTGTTCAGAGAAGTCCTTGGTAAAACGAATTGAACTGTTTTGCCATGGTTGGCCTTACTTAGCTGGTCCTTAGTGATCGACATGTGAAATACCACCTGCCAAGCTTACCCATGGCAGGTGCAGAGTTAGTTATGCCATGTTACTCCTCACTGCTCTCGGTTACCATCTACTATCATTCGTTGAATATAGTCTAATTGCCCAGCATTCATTTCTCCCATTCTCAGGTGGCACCTCAGCACCGTGAATTTTCTCTGCGCATTGCGTCACTGGCAGACAGCACGGGCATCGCCCTGGCAGGAGCAGTCGCGCTGCCAGTTCACGACGCAATGTGCCTCTTGAAATACTGACTCAAGGATTACCGGCAACACTGCTGTCTTTGTCGTGTTAATAAGTGCACAGCAAACATGAAGGGCACGCTAACAGCCATAAGGTGAACAGTACTATTCCTGATAGACGGGCAACTTTAGGCTAATGTGACCGTTATAATTGCTATACAGAGTTGACGCAGTTACACATAAGGCTAAATGGCAAATTTAACACTAACCACAGTACCTCTGACCGATCTTAGCTACATATATTGACATGGGTTTTGCAAGCAATCAAAATCACATACACTGCATCACCAAAATGCAGCTTGGGCTCTTCATCATAACTATGTGATTTAATTACTCAAAAATGCCATTTTCTATAAAATAACTGTGAAATTATTTGGAAAAATGATTTAAAATAAGCAGTGTAGCTTACGAATACAGTAGCTTTTGTAAAGCCATTTTTGGAGCACAATAGCAAAGTTATAATTATACCGCATGCATTGTTTGTTTTCATTGTACATGAGATTACATGAAACAGCATTGCATTAATAACCTTGAACAGTATAGATTGCCACTCTAGTAGATTACGATTGCCATTAATCACCGTTGTGCTCGCCGTTTAATTAGAGTACACTTAAGTTGTAGCAGCACGAATGACACAAACAACATTAATACATATTGTTTGTGTAATTGTCTTCAAATCTTCATGCTCATCATTTTGACTGTAAGCGTGTCCTTCAACGTATGCAAGTTAGGACAGAACATAAGTTTTTTTCTGGTACCGGCACTGAAGCTTCAGCATTAGCAGAGTTGTAGAAGTTGACAGTGTAAATCGTGTCTTTATCTTTGTTGTGCTACCTGGTTACACGCGCAGAAAACGGAATCTAACAGGAGATCTTGCACAACTGATGGCAGTTATGAGGTTTTGCTGTACTGTGTAGAGGGTGTTCGACCATGCTGTGTCGTGCTTCTACATTGAGCATAGAAACAAAATACTCTGCAGACGGCTCTCGAGCAGGAATGCTGTAACGGGGTCGCCCTTGGTAGAGGACAGCCGACGTGAGATTGATTGGGCAACTGTTCGACTTGGCTGACACACCGTCTTTCACAGGTTAACGAAAATGTGTGCGAATGGTCATTTAAAACAGCCACTGCTCTTCACGAATGCACTGTACTAGCTGCAGTTAAAATGTGATGGGTGTCAGCAAAGTACGTACAGTTGCTTTAGCCCGAGTGACCACAACTTATTGCATTGGTGGAATATATTTAATACTTTATGCAGAGATTTTATTTTATTTAGCTTCTTTGCATACTCAGAGGCTCAATAATGTGTTAAAATGTGATGTGTGTTAGCAAAGTACACACAGTCCTTTATCCAGAGTGGTCATGGCTTATTGCATTGATCGAATATAATATTTTATGCAGAGATTTTATTTTATTTAGTTTTTTTCATACTCGCAGGCCTAACAATGTGAGTGCTCTTCAGGCGGCACTTATTTTCCAGATACTATTTTAATATGCCTTTCGAGTTTTCACAGCTGTGTCCTATTTATACACAGTCTATTTTATTTTTCTGTTATTGTTTTATATTACATTGCCAATGAACTTTCAAGACTATTTTCAATTCCTCGCACTGTGAAAAAGAGCAGTGACAACGCGTTACCGCACCTTTCAAAGCAGTGGGTCGGCTCTTTTTTTTCACTCAGTGTACAGGCCAGTTAAAATGTGTGCCCAGTAACAAAGGAGCCAGTCTCGTGTGGTGTACCAAATACAGTTTGTGCTAATGCCAAAGCTTGGTCAATCCTGTGAAGGCCTTTTTTGTGTGTGGCTTGCCAGGAAAAGAAAGACTGGATTACACCACAGCTTTGGCTTGCTGTTACTCAAATAGCACAACGCTGTGTTGGTTGTGTATACATTATAAAAAAAGTAGCAAGTCTTAATTTTTAGTTATGTGCCCAGGCCCATAAAATGTAGCTTTGTGTTTTTTTTCTTCTTTCAAGTCTGTATTTTCTAGGCTTTTCATACCAACTGCACATTTTCCCAAAAACGGTATGCTGTACTTATTTGTCGCACCAGGTGTAAGTTTCTTGGTTCAATTTTACGGTCACCGTTGTTTGTGTTTTCATTGCATGGCTGTGGTGATGTATGACAATAGCCACATTTTGACATGCCATAATTAAAAAAAAATTTTATCAACTGCATGTGCAAGTGGCGGCATGACTTCTACATGGACTATTTCTTGTATACAGTACTGTACACTCTTAAACGGCATACTGAAGCGCTATTTTAGTGGTGGCCATTGCTCAATGTCGTGTATTATACTTCAGCAATAATTTTTTACCGGTACATTTATATAGGTCATAATGCGCCACATCAAACACCCTTTTTTTTTTTCGGTAACATTGATGATGCATCAGAGGTAATTCCAGCTCGGGAATGCCAATTGCACATTTTCTTTAAGAGTGGACATTGCTGTATGTGTGTTTGTTTTGTGTTTTATGTGCTTCTGAATATCCGGTGACACGAGTATTAATGTAGCAAGCTTGTATGTGATGGCGGTAACATCTATTTACACCACTTGATCAGGCCATAAGAAATTAATGAGGCCATTGTACGCATACATTGTCTTGAGTTATTTTTAATTGTAATTTTTCATTGGTCTAGTAGTGCCTTGTTGAAATACTATCGCTGCAACACGTGCTAACATGTGTTATTATAGCCCAACGTGTGCATCTTTTAATAATATTGTTAGTATATGTGACCTGAAAGGTATTGGTGCATTATACTAACTGCACATTTTAACCAGGAGCTCAATCAAGCCATGGTTTGCCTTTATGCCTTACACTTTTTGATAGTGTTTACTGTGGCAATGGCTTCCAGCATCAGTGCGAGTGATATTTAATTGTCAGAGATTATGGCTGTGTTGTATAGTCGAGTCGTGCCAAGAGAGATGCGTTTTTTTCTTGTTCATTAATTTCACTCTGTTGCTTTTGGAGAACTACTAGATTTACAAAAAATAACCAGGGTTTTTTTTTTTTTCATGCTATATAATATAGGAAATCATGAAATAGACCTCCCATTCTAGTATCTTTGCAGTTAAAACACAGCCATGAATGGCCGAAAGTTAGGTTTGGCGGCGACCTTGGGAAATTCGAATGTTGAAAAAAGCATTGGCTTGCACGAAAAATATTTAGTTCAGAGGCTAGGTATTAGGAGAGGCCTTTAGTCCTGCTGTGGCCTTAGAATAGGCCGACGGTCTTAAATAGCCGCTACACAAATTTTTATACTGTTGTGTCTTATAAATAATCTCCGACTATTTTTGGGTCCATTACCTTGCCCAGTCCATATTGTGTGGTTGGCTTTTTGAATCGTTATGTCTTCTCCTACTTTAATATGAGAAGCTACGAAGTTCTGATTGTTGACACCGTTTAGTGCCTTCCAGGTGCTTCAAGAATGACACTGATTGACAATTGCGTTTAGGATGAACTGGAATGATTACTTTTAATTATTGCTAATCTCTTGTCACTTGCTATTTGAAGCAAGTTTTGACGTTTCTACTGTGTCAAAATGTGTGTTAGCCCAGAACTCCAAACAGTTTGCATGGGAAGAGAACGCCGTAAGAAATCCAAGATGTTTGAGCCTGTTTATTTTATTATTTACATAGCAGGCATTTGCCCTATTGTGCTTGTGATTAAATTAATAATACACCATCCAATTGTGGAAAATTTCCTTCGACATCTCAGCTTGTTGCCACCAGTGTTCTCCAATGAGTCATACACGAAAGTGTGACATTAACCAAATCAAAAAGAATGCAGTAGACTTTCAGTAAATGGAAATCTGTTAAACCGAACTACTGCTTAAACGGAACTATTTCCTTAGCTATGCTTGGTTTCGGGCTTGTAATATTCTGCACCTGTTAAATGAAACATATTTTCCCGGTCTCTTCAGGTTCAGTTTACTGAGAGTTTACTGCAGTCTTTCCTGCAGCTAAAAAAATTGCACGTGCTTGTTTTATTCCTTCTGAAAGACATTTTTCGTGACATGTACAGTCAGACTTGTTCAACAATGTTGAACCCTCTATGGTCCCCTGTCGGCTCCTGCCCGACGACGAAATACTGCCGCAATGGTCTGCGGTCGGTCACTACTGGTCAAGGTCTTCCGCAATTTATTCATGTGTGCTTTCTTTCGTTATATTGTGCACCATCTATAGGTAAACTGATCTTTAAGTCTTTTACTTTCAAGACGAATGAACGCAAGGGGGGAAAGGGTTTTGGATTGCAAAGGGTTAATTGTAAATTAAGTATTCTATTAGATCTTGAGAAGAAATTTCTGTTTACGCAAATGCATTATTCGTCAGTCTTTCAACCTTCTGATGCTGAACAAATGTCAGTGGATACTTGTTAAAGCTAATTTCTTGAAGCAAGCAAGATCGGAAATGCCATAGTTACTGTGGATTAAAAAGTGGCGTTGAGCTTGTCAGTCTGCACGGTTACAAATCTGTTCTCACTAGTGTATTGCACCTGGTCACTAGCAAAGCAACTATAACGCTTAACTAGCACGGGCTCACAACCTTGATTCTTGGTGACATTTTTCTGGAGATAATATGCATAAATGTCTGATGTTGGCACATATGGCAGCTATACCTTTTTGCAAAAGAACGAAACGTGAACTAAAACTTTCCATGAGTTTTGCGTAATTTAACATGATGCAAAGTATCGACCAAATTAGACAAAAAAGTGAGGTTTGACAGCTATATGTAGAGACCTTAGCTGTAACTTCAAAACTGTGTTTCTTTAAATTTCAATTGTGACATTTATTTCAACACATCAGTCCACTTCAATCATGCAGTCATATTTCAAACAGCTTTATCACACTCATGTTGAAGGAATAAAATGCGATGTCTTTCATTTCAGCTTCATAAATTCTTGATTTCGGCAACTGTCTGAAGGCTTGTGCTTGCCATGAGATGCAGATTGGGCCTTGTTGAAGTACTGGCAGTATATATTGCATTAGCAGAATTGGAAAAGGTGCCATTTGGCAAGGCTTGCTATAAGAACACGAATCGCCACAAAGGCATAGCTAGAAGTGTTAAGTCATCAAAATAATGTTTGCAACGAAAATCAAATATTCAAATAAAGTTGTTCTAACCTTGCCTGCTGCTAGGCTTACTGCCATTACCAAAATAGGAATAGCCAAGTTGGCTTAGGGAGATTCGGCTGCCACAGAATAATACTGTATCTCAGTAATAAACAGTTCAAATCTCTGAAGGCTTGTTATAGGCAGTCAAATGCGGGTTAATGAGCATGACTTGCCAAAATGTTGGCAAAGAATGTTGCGACACGACTCTTTAGTTAAGCAGTTCCTTGTCCACAGCTGAGAGTCCGTCCCCAGCACCTACGAAATGGAGCACATGGTCGATCACTGCTGTCCGCATGATGTTAAAACGGCCGTTGATCGTCCCACACAAAGGCCACCAGTAGAGTTCGTTAGGACGCAAGCGTAGATCTCATTACCACTCGAGGACGGGCAGCTGACGACTGCCAGCGCGGCCCCTGCGATGCGCTCATGCAGACTTTGGCTTTGGTGTGTTGTCAATGGTCTTGAACATATACCAGGAGGTCAAGTTCCACACCCACTGTGGCATGTGCTCATATGTCCAGTACTGGAAAAGCAATATAAATGCAAGTATAATGAATACTGGGCATGGGTGGTCTTTTAACAATGTAAAATTTCACCGATACCGACACAGACTCAACAATGAGATACCTATCCAACATGCTGACTAGAGTTGATTCTGTTGTGCTGATGAAAACACCCTGTATCATGGCAGGCTACTATATCTAAAAGGACCGACCAGGTTTCGAAAAAAGCCTCTACTAAACGGACCTGCCAGAACCAGAAAGCAAAGGTCGGGGTGAAGACATATATTGCATAGGTTTTCATACTGTACAAAATGTCACTGGTGCACTTTGCAGCGGTGAGCCTCTTTCAGGTAGGTGTCATTTAGCACATACATGTATCTGTGCCTCCCCTGCAATGGTGAAACTGGCTCTTTCGGATAGCTTAGCACAGTGGCCGAGCTTAAGTGCCTAAGGGTGCAATGTTACCAATGGTGGCTGTTTAAGAGAAGCGACAAAACTGATCAAGCTATGCGGCAGGTTGAATTGCAAGAAGGGACAAGGGCCAAGCACACTTCTGCTTGCTTCGTTTGACAGTAGTAGTTGTGCTTACTAATCAAACATGCCTTTGCCACGACTCGGCGGTCAGAAAGCTTGGCTCCGAACTGTTATAGTTCTAGTTCGATTCCGACCGTGGCGGCCGCATTTTGATGGAGGCAAAATACCAGAAGCCCGTGCGCATTAAGGAAGCCCAGGTGGTCAGAATTATCCAGAAATTTCACTACGGCAGCTCTCATAGCGAGATTTGCTTTGGGGCATTGAATCCCATAAACCAAACATATAACAAAACACCGTCATGTGAAGCTGTGGAAATAACGCGCCTCCGACAAAATCATCACCTATCTCTGCACAGAGAAGTCGGGCGACGCAGCCAATGAGGCTGCATAGTCACTGGGGGTCAGGCGTGTGCATACTGAACATTCTCAGTTTGAATAATACAGCAAGGGCCAATTTCAGAATACAAACAAATACATTGTTAGCCTGCACCAAGTTCTGTATGAGGTCAGATTCACACTGTTACTATTTTACGAGCAGCAAACTCGTCTTAGTAAAGTGCAGGTGGCGATCATTTGGGGATTCGTGACAAGGACAGTTAACTGCAAAACCACAAGGATCTCAAAACGTTGTAATGCACGGCTTCGTGTTGTCTATTCCTGTGTCCTTTGCAGTTGATTTCGTTAAGCAACATCGTCACAGCACGGCGTAAAAAATGTGCAGATGCGCGTTACGCCATCCCGGAAATACTCTACATATGGGTGCCATTTTAGCTAAGCGTGCGATTTTTTTAAGCTGGATTGTCGATGAAGCTCCACAACAAAGTCGGCCCAACCTGTAAGCCATGTGTCCAGAAGCCCGTGGTCCTCTTGCTGCTACCGATTGTCTGCAGAGAGCTTTTAACAAATGTCTCTGCGTCTGGAACGATGATGCTGGGCGTGCTCAGAAAGTTGCTGAAGCGCACCAGCTTCGTCGAGATGTACGAAGGGATCAGGCTCTGCACGATGATGCCTTTGTCCCGGTACTCGTAGTCGAGTGCCATGGAGAACCAGTCCACAAATACCTGGAAAAGGTACCAGGACTTGTGCAGTCTTGCAAAATGCATCACTGAAAAGTACTGCCTCGCACATCTGACGCAGTTGTCTCCACGACCAGACACATTCATTTCATCCTCCTCAAAATCTGAGGTTGTTGAAGCAAAACGACGCTTTCAGGATGGCGAACTGATAGCTCCAACACATAGTAATTTTAAATATGTTAAAGGCATTCGTTTCCACTAACAGTCACATGTCTTTCAAGCTCACCGTTTTAACAAAAAAAAAATGGCATGCGTTTCTTGTTCTACCAAGTTGATAGAATGATCATTAAGTTGCCACATTTAGCATCAAGTATAAACGTCATCAAAATGACCCTTGCACAGGATGCGAGTGCATTCAGAGCCAACCTCGAGTCATGTGACATGAATACAGCATACTAACTACACAATGCCAGATAAAATACAGAAGCTCGACCACGAACCTTTGAAGCAGAGTAAATAGCCATCAAAGGAAGTGGGTAAAATGATGAAATAGACGAGATGTTGACAATAAGCCCCTTTTTCCTGAAACAGAAAGTACATGACACAAAACTTTCAGTGTATATTCACTGTAACCTAATAGGATACAGCATAAGACAGTTGCGAATTCCACTTATTGCTATGTTTGCAGAAGATCTTTCCACTTACCTTGCGACCATCTGCGGCATGACGATGTACGTCATCATCATGACAGCCATCATGTTGATGTTGACACTTTCTACAAGTTTCTAGAATAGAGATAATCGACGAGGAGAGTGTCATAAGTATGATCACGAAAATTTGGCCAAGCCACAGCTTTGAATACTTTTTTTTAATGCCTGCCCATATGCACCACAAGTGCAAGGAGAGTGGGAGGTCCCACGTTTGCAGCGACACATTTTGAGACGTTGTCTACGTACTGTTGGTATAACAAGGACAACTTTTTCCAGAAAATGCTGCCACTGTACGCAAAGCCTTCGTTTCTGTGCGATGCGACGTTAATGCAGCCCAACAAAAGTCTCCGACTAACTGTTCAAACACTGATGGTCTCTGGAACTGATATTTGGCATCAATACTGGACAGGCATTAGAAAAATAAGTAAAAACACAATGCTATGGCTATGAGAAACTTGAAAACGAAGTGTGTGCTGAAGCCGACGTTTCTACAAGTGGACTTGTGTTTTTCAATGCTGCAGCCTTGAAAAAGAAAAGTCAACTCGTCAAAACACCAGCTCCAGCACCCACTCCATGTTTGAGAATTTCTCATAACAACCTTTCATCCTCCCCTTCTCGTCTATTTTTTTTTTTTTTTTTTTGGAATGCTATGGTTAAGCATTTAAAGCTGGCTGCCCACTTGCCATACATGTCGTGGCAACATTGCATGTAAAAAGCTGAGTAAACAAAATATGTCGCTACCTTTTTTATGCGAGTGTGCTCTCTCAGTACCAGTAAAAGGCATTGACCTCAGCAAGAACATCTAATCATTACAAGGACTGCAATAAAGAATAAGAAGTTATACTTCTGTAAACATGTTACATGCATTGGAGACATTGGAAAATGTGTCACAATAATGTGTTAAGTTTGTAATTGGCCAAAATAATTATTAAAAATGGGAACATGTAGCTGCATAGTTAGAAATTATGGCTGCTTAAGAAAAGTGCACTAAAAAAGAAAACAATGAGATAGCTACTAGTTTCACTAAAGCTGCCTCAGCAATCCGAGGGATAAGCTTCAAATACGCATGTCCTAAGAGCGAAGAGTCAACAAGCCACACCAACTGTGCATTGAGAGCTGATTACCGAAAATAAATCTGTAATTACTGTGATGAAATTAGGAAGTTTGCTTGTACAATGTTTATTTTGGCATTATGCTAAGTTTGGAACATACGTCTGCTGCTAAGGTATTAAGCTTGTTCGCTGAGGTGCACGGTAACTAAAAAAAATGCATTTCATTGAATGGCTGCATCACTTATCAGTAGAGAAAGAGCAGAGACCATTCAGCAATCATCACAGCAACTGGCACCAGTCTTATCTATAATACTGATCGTGTCACAAATAGCTTGCCTAATACTCAGTGAAGCATGAACTTCAGATTTTGTCGGCCAATCGGGCACATGAACAGCATGTCTCTCTGTGCTTGTACAAGCACTCACCCATTGTCATAAATGTGTGCATATGTCATAGCAATCAACAAATGAATGAGCCTTTCTGGTTTTTGTTTGTGGCTAGCAGACAAAAACTGCATCCATTGATTTGGGACATGTGTATAGGAATCATGCCAGTTCTTGCTCCATGTCATCCTTGGGGCTACACATGTGTGACAGCTGTAGTGTGCCTAGCAGTGACTGTGACACAGAAGTACAAGAGTGAAAGTGGAATCGCTTTTCTTTTTTCTGCATGTGTACCAAGAGCACAAAGATGAGCTGTCGGAAGTGTCCCTTCAGTAAGAACGTCCGCATGCTTCCACGTTGCCTCAGTGTACATACCTTTTCTGGAACATTGAGGAACAGGCTGGGAGAGTCGTACATCACTCCAGCGTTGTTTACTGCACACGTTAAAGTGCAGAAGTGAGTAAAGTGGCATAATCACTGCACAGTGTGTGAATAACTCACTTAGTATGCCGATTTCCTTGCCTTCCAGCTGCTTCGCTATTTCTGGGTAGATGTGCCGCCCTTCGCTGAGGTCGGCCTGAATGATCTGGGTTCGCACGCGGAAATCAAATTCTGCAAATGAAGTATTTCCATGAGAGCCATTTCGCTGCGAGTATCTACTCAAGAGTCGGGTCACTTGCCAAGTTCCTGAGCAGTAGCTTGAAGTTTTTCCATGTTCCTGCTGATCAAAATTATGTTCAGTCCCCTTTTCGCCAACTGTCGCGCATACTGCTTTCCAATGCCATCTGTGCCTCCAGTGACAACTGCGAGCCAAAGAGAGAAATGATGTTGTTGGATAAGCAAAACACGAAGTAAGCTAATGAAAATGCACAGCCACCCATTTTTTAACCTGTGCGTGCAAGCATTGAACGCCGAGTCAATAAGTGCCGATTCCCGGCATCCCGTTCCCGGAACAGTTTGTAGAAGGCAGTTGCACATGACTGTTCATTGGGTACATGCATGTATTCTTGTTCATTTCACCACCATGCTTCGTTATACGGCGCTATTTGACTGAGCGGTCGACGCTCGCGCATTCAGGTTTAAAAAATGGACGGCTGCAGAGTGGTTGTAATACGTAATGTCGACTAACTGAACTAAGGGCCTTGTATGGCAGAATGCATGTGGTTATTTATTTATTTTAACATACTGTCAACCCACGTGAGGGTCACTACATAGAGGGAATGCAGGGGAAAAAAAACAATATGTAAGAAGCATTCAAGTGACATCAAGCTTTTACATAACATTGTGTAAAAATGTCGAAATTGGCAACAAACAACGTGACGAGGAATGCAGAACACCAAGAGCTTATCGATTTAATTATAAAAAACTTTCCAACACTTTCACGTCAGTGCACTCAGCAATATGGGCAAGTAGTCCATTTCGTTTTTGAACTACATCAGGAGAAAAACAAATACCGAAAGGCGTTAGCATAGATGGAAATGTTCTAGTGACTCAACAAATTCATGTTATCAATCTTTATATTGCTCTTGAGAAATTGAAGTAACGATCTTATTCTGTTGCTCTGTCGCCTAATTTCTAGTAATTACAAATTACACGAGCTTAGCATTTCGGTGACCACCTAATGGCGTAATTCATGCGTCGAGTTACGTCTAAAAGCGCTGTCAGCTATTGCTCGCTGTATTTCCTTCTCCGCCTCTTGTCGGCTATTCGCAATGAACTCTAACAGTTGCGTTTTCCTTAATTTGAGGGAGCTACAACGTAACCACCGAAGTCGTCCTGTATTCATCGCGGAGGTGGCTAGCCCGTTCATTTATCAGCTCAACGTATCGCCGCGAAGGTGTCGTGCTTTGGCTGCACAATGCAGTTGCTGACGCTCGGACGAAATGCATACACGATATGCAGAGTTTTCCGTAGGCAAAGAGGGCAAGCGAGAAGGAAGGAAAACGAAGAGGCCTCGTGCAAGCCGGTTCTTTGACGCGAGGGAATTTTCGTGCGAGGGCAGCCAGCAGCCGCGTGAACTTTGTCGGTCAAGTTCGCGAACTGTGCCGACGAACGCAAATGATCGCACACAGACAAAACACGCGCACTTACCTGCCCACTGGCCGTAGCGCGTCAGGTCGTGCCATCGAAACTGCGACAGCACAAACACTCGGATGCCCTCGATGAGGCGCAAGCTGACGGCGGTGGCTGTCTTGCCCACGTAAAAGAGGCCGACGATGGCTAGAATGCTCTCCACTCGCTTGAAGCGCCCGATTACTTCCTGTATCAGAAACAAGCCCTGGTCGCAGGCTGCCATCTTCAGCCTTTCATACTGCGTTGATGTCGATGCCATGCCGGCGCAGGAGTCGCAGCTCGGGTTCGGTTCCTGTTTCGGTGCGTCTGAGACGTCCGTGTGTCGTGGTGTGCCGCCGGTACCGCCCCTGCTACAGTGTACTAGAAGGGCACTCTACCCGTGCCTACCCTGCCTGTGCGAGGCCCGACCGCCTTTCTCTCTTCCTGGTCCTGTTACCAACTGGCGGCCGGATCGCGAAGCTGTGCCCGGTGGCCCCGCAAAAAAGTTACGTTCAAAGTTTCCCCGTAAGCGCGCAACTGAACACGGCTGGGCGGATGACGAAGCGCCTTTTTTTGTTTTTTCTGTTTTCGCGCTAGGGATGTGTGAATGCTTAAGGAAATGGTCCGCCGCTACACGAGAGGTTGACAGTGTGCGCGTTGTGCAATCCTTTGTTTCGAGAGTGCCACTTTTCTTCCTTTCGAACGAGCATCCTCCTCCCCAACCTCAAGGTCTTCCTCGTCCTACCTTACACGCGTGAAAGCTGCCGCGTAAAACGTGACAAATTTCCCTGACCCGCCTCTCAAGGTGTCTGTCGCGACTTTCTAGAAGTGCACCACCTCCCTTCTCCACTATTGTTTGAAAGTTCCCGTCAAGTACCAGTGACTGATCTTCAGTTGCAGAAAAAAAAATATTTCATGCTTAATTAATATGGAGTCATTCACAAGCAACAACACTAGATTTTTTTATACTCGAAGGTACCTCGACTGTTTGTTATCTGCTTTACAATCACAAGTTAGGACACATGGAAGAAAAAAATGTGTGTCGTGCTTAATTAATGATTGGGAGACCCTTAATCTTCGCCTTCAAGAATTGAACGCGATAGCAATACTATGTTCCTAGTGCATACTCTATAACACTTATACGTAAAATCTTTCCGAACTTGCTCTGCACCTACTACATAGCCTTAACGGTGCAGCATATGCCTCTTGTAGTTGTAACGGCGCATATGGCTCTTGTAGTCGGTAAATAGCTTCAAACCATGAAATCGTTATGATAATCCCATGTTCTGACGCCCGATGGCGGTGTGCGCTTGTACAACGCATTATTACCACAATATTTCATGTTGTATTGTGAAGCATGTAAACAGGATGCCTGTGTTTGTAAAGCGTGAAAGTTACTTGCACTGCATTTCCAAACAGTGGAAGTTATTTTCACAGTATTCACAAGCAGATCCGTAGCTATGTGGTAGAACACCCAGTTGCTACGTAAACCATCCGGGTTAGGCACCCACTCAGACCCAAAATTTAGTATTTATTTTATTTGCATCTTTCTCTATTGTTCGGTCACACAAAGATGCTCAATTTTTCAGTCAAGCAAGGACGATTTCTCGCTCACAATCAACGAAGCTGAAGCCGGAATTTATGCAAAGCGAGCTCTTTAATGCTATCACGTTAATATAGAGTCATTCACAAGCAACATTAGATTCCTTATTATCGAAGGTACCTGGACCTGTTTATTATCTGCTTTACAACTCACAGGTTAGGACACATCAAAATTGTCTCACACTTTCTGCTGCACTCACTCTACAAATGCTCAGAGCACTCTATTGGAGTGAACATTTACAATTACGTGTACACACTATGTAATATACTTTACATGAATGTTTAATGAGAAATGAACTTTCAGCTACACTGTACATACGAACGAAATTCGTTCACGGCTCTTTCATTTCTGCCAAAACACACTGAAATGCAAACACAGACTAGCATCACAACGTATCACAGCTGAGCTGCTGACATAACAGTGAAATATGTACAGTCTGAGTCACACTTGTGTACAGCGGTCAGGCGTGTGGTTTTGGGTGCCAGTAGCTACAAGCTTCCATTCAAGCTTGATTTGTAGCACAAGAACCTAGCATGCTGTATTACTATGTTTGATATCATTAGGCATTGGTCTCTGCATATTTTTGCAAAATAATGACAAGGCAAGCAGCCAATGGGCCACTCTACACAAGTGTGATTCAGAAACTACATTACAAGACACAGCCTACGTTCAAATACCATAGAAAATTTGCCTTTCTAGAATACTGAAGCTTGCGCATATAGCTAAACCTGTACTGAGTGGGCAGCTGTTTGCTCTGGTAAGTGGAGCATTACATCTGTAAGACAGGCTTGCTTAAGTGCACTTCCAGAAAGAGCTATAGTGCTTTAAATATTCATGTCATGTTTTTGCAAAGAGCCTTTTCATTTAAGTGTGTATCGTATGATACTCTGGTACTTCAACTGTTTCTGTGGTTCTCAAATAAGATTGAAAAAATTACCAGTAGTGGCTACGTAATGCGATACAATGTTGTGCATTTTCCCGCTCTTACACTCAAGAACAGATCTGATGGGAAGAGCACTACACATTTTAATCCTTTGTTTAACACACAGTTCTTGTAGCTGCTTTGTACATACTAGTTTTGCAGCCAGGCTGTGCATCTAATGCATACAGTTGCAATACAGCATTGCAGGCCTATGGCAACAGGAGATACTGCTATACAGAGATCCCTAACAATGTCACTGGTGGCTACTTCAGTAACAAGACTCGGCAAGTCCACAGTAAACTAGGGGACCACCCTGTAGAGCACTTCAAGACCACCACTATTCACATTACAGGCCTTGCTGAATGAGCAAGTGGCGTCACACGTTACCATAGCACATTTCTACGTCTTCAATGCATGTCCGCCTAATTTTGCTCTTTCTGAAGCTTCCACCTCAGTCCAAAGAAGCGCAGGCGTCTCAGTGCTGCGTCCACTGGATCGACTTTAGGTCAACGCCTTCCTGGACCATCTCCCAGAGTGGGCTCATCTCGCGCAGTTTCTTGACCTCCTTGATGCACTTGCGCGCAGTGTAGACCACTTCTTCCTCGGACGTGAAGCGGCCCAGGCCGAAGCGTATCGACGAGTGCGCCAAGTCCTCGTCAGCTCCGATGGCTCGTAGCACGTACGACGGCTCTAACGACGCCGAAGTGCAGGCCGAACCGGATGACAGCGCCACGTCCTTCATAGCCATAAGAAGGCTCTCGCCTTCGACGCAGGCGAAGGACAGGTTCACGCAGCCTGGGTACGAGCGCTGAGGATCGCCGTTTCGCACGACGTGCGTCAGCTCGCTGGTGATGAGTGCGACTAATAGGTCGGAGAGCCGGCTCACGTGCCGGTGGTCGTACTCCATCTCGTCTACGGCGATCTCGCAAGCGGCTCCCAGCCCGACGGCGAGCGGCGTCGGCACGGTGCCGCTTCGGATGCCCCGTTCCTGGCCCCCGCCGCTCTGCAGCGCTTCGACGCGAACGCGAGGTCTGCGGCGCAGGTAGAGGGCGCCGACTCCCTTGGGGCCGTATATCTTGTGGCCGCTGATGGACATGAGGTCTACCATCATGTCTTCGACGTCGACCCGGATCTTCCCAACGGCTTGAGCGGCGTCCGTGTGGAAGAAGACCCTGTGCTTCCGGCAGACAGCGCCGATCTCGGCGATCGGCTGCGTGACGCCGATCTCGTTGTTGACCGTCATCACCGACACGAGTGCCGTGTCCGGTCGGATGGCGTCTTCGAGCTGCTTGACGTCCACGAGGCCGTTGCGGTTCACCGGCAGGTAGGTGACGTCGAAGCCTTCGGCCTCCATGGCGCGGCAGGAGTCGAGCACGCACTTGTGCTCCGTCTGCGTCGTCACGATGTGCTTCTTTTTCTCGGCGTAGAAACGACTGACGCCCTTTATGCTTATGTTGTTTGATTCAGTGGCGCCGCTGGTGAATATGATCTCTTTGGGCTGCGCGCCGATGAGAGCCGCGACTTGGCCTCTCGCCTTTTCGACGGCCGCCTCACTTTCCCAGCCGTACGCGTGTGTACGAGAGTGCGGATTTCCGTAGTTGTTGATAAAGTACGGCAACATAGCGTCAAGAACGCGTGGGTCCAGGGGCGTGGTCGCTTGGGCATCCAAGTAGAGCGCTCTCATGTCGTTCGTCTCAACGGACATGGCCATGTCGTACTCGCCGCCTAGGAGCTTCGAAGGTATCGAACAGAGAGTCATCTGCGAAGTGATTCTCGCCGGCGGCCGCCACACAAGTGACAAATTCCTTAACAACGCCAACATTTCGATAATTTTAAGTAATACCGGTTGCACGTGTGTGGTCAGTCGCAGGAGCGACGAGTCATAACACGCACCACAACACAACACACGGCGACTATTGGCTGCATTTGATTGCGCAGACGGCTGCGACTGACTTCGTACGGTCGCCTATGTAGATAGTAGAGCACTAGAGACTAGAGTAACATTACCACAGCACGCTGACACCAACGTTAGGGTGGCTAGAATGGGGAGGTGTGATGAGCGGGGCGCCTTTCGCTTGGCGGAGAGGGTCCTTCGGCGCGCCGATGCCGCTAGGGGCGCTGATGGCAGCGGCGCGGGTAGTGAGCGGCGCACTTCGCTGGGTTTGCTTCAGTCGCGCCATAATTTTTTTCGTTAGCAGTCGCACTGTCTTACAAGTATGTCGTCGATCGGTGATTGCGTTGAGTCTCTCTGAAATGTCCGAAGATGTCAACGACAAAAAGAAGACGCAACGTTGGTGCTTTGTGCCTGGCTGCAACACTGGATATTATAATTCTTCAGGAGAGAAAGTTTCCCTTTTCCGAGCTCCCACGTGTAGTGTGCTGTTCGACAAATGGATTCGTGCTATTCCAAGAGCGGACAAACAGCTTGACGAGAACTCCGCAGTGTGCGAGAAGCACTTCGACCCAAGGTATGTACAAAAAATAGAAGGCACGGTGTTCGCACACCCGAGCAAGAGACCAATTTTGCTTACTTGCGTTCCACGTGTCACATGCTGCATTGCAACATAACCAATTGGCTGTCCTTTTCTCTTTTCTTTTTCACAGATTTGTCGTGCGTACGTTCAAACATAGGATTAATGGTGAAGATGTATACATGCCGCGCGCTGTGCCGACCTTAACAAATGACGCCGTGCCGACGATTTTTCCTAATTTGCCTAAATACTTGACGAAAGCTCTGCCCAAGGAGAGAAAGAGACGGAAAAGCGTGGCTGAAAGTGCTGTTTCGAGTAAAAGAATTAGTGTGAACCACGACAATGTCGAAGAAGGCTCAGCGATTGACCATGACGTGATCGTTTCAGAACAGAACGTCATGTTGACCGAACAGCTGCATTCCTTAAGTGCTATGCTTCACCGTCCTAGCGAGTTGTGGTCGATGCAGAAGTTCGAGCAAACGAATGCATTATGCTACCAGACCGCTAAATTGGACAGAGATTTAACACCTCCTGTTATTCACAACAAGATAGTGTTGTTTGAAGCTGAGGAAGGAGCAGCTGCTCAGTGCAGCATCTTTCTGAACGGGTTCCTATTCAAAAAAAGTGGCTGTCAGACAGTGAGCCAAGCACAGGATCTTCTCAAGTATGCAGACACATTGACACCCTGCGTAGGAATTGGGACAATGGAAGAGTTCCAACCACTGAATTTGGAAAGCAAGGCGAAGCTATCTCAAAATCGTGTCTTCTCCCTTTCTTGCGATGGTTCCTCATCGATTTCGCTACAAGGTATTATGAGATATCGCAGTTGCGCAAACCCTGCCTAAAATATTTTATTTGAGCCTGTAGATACCTGTCCCTGCTTTGGTTAGACTTATCCACCGATTATGGTACACTTTACAGATGGCTCATCTGGACGTTGTACTGCCTGCAGAAAATGCAGAAACCTTCTGAAGGCTCGTCTGCTCCGTCTAAAAAAAAAAAAGACTAAGCGGCCACTTGCAAGAACAGCTGCACAACGACTGAAATGGGCTGTTCGTACGTTGAAGAAAAAGAAAATGAAGCTGCTTACCTTGCAGGATGCCCTGAAGAAGATGCGAGAAAAGACTTCACAAATCATTGCATCTGTGTTAGAGGAAAAGGTACACTGTCCCATTAAGTTGTTATAGATTCATTACTAATAGCTTCTTAATTATTTCAGCTGAAACTTCTTCCAAAAAAGCAACGGGCTGCGGTGCAGGCTTGTTTTGACGCTGCCAAACGAAGGTCCTTGCGCGGATATAACTACAATAAAGAATGGCTCCTTGAGTGCATCATCCTCAGAATGAAAAGTGCACGACTGTATGAGCATCTTAGAGCACACAGAATTCTTGTCCTGCCAAGCCGTGCTTGCCTTCAAAAATACATCAAGGTATGTGATTGCATATGGTGTGCAGTATAGAGATGGTTCCTAATGTTTTTATCTACAGGGATTCGCTGCTGCTTATGGGTTTAATACCAAACTCCTGAGCTGTCTGAAGAAAAAAGTTAAAGACATGGATGAAATGGAGAGGCATGGGGGCATAGTAGTGGATGAAATGAAACTCTCTGCTCATCTGGACTTGCAGTCGTCCAGCAATATTGAAGGCTTTGTCGACCTCGGCAAGTTTACCGATGCCAATGAAAGACACCGCAAAGCTGACCATGGGCTTGTCATAATGTTCCAACCATTTGTGGGGAAATGGACACAAATCATTGGTAATATATTTTTTGCACTGTTAAGGCACATATGCCGAAGCGTTTTGTAATGCTCTATTTCTCTTCAGGTGTGTTTTCATCCAGCGGGAACGTAAAAGCCAGGCTGTTGACAAAACTTTTGGTAGAAGCTACAATTTTGTGTGAGCAAGCCGGCCTCTACGTGGATTACATTTGCTGTGATGGTGCGCCCTGGAACAGATCTATGTGGAACATCCTGGGGATACGCGCCACCCTCAATGACATTCAGTGCAGAGTTGTTCATCCGTGCAACAAACACCGATTTTTGTACTTTATATCGGACTTCCCTCACCTCATGAAGTGCGTGAGAAACACAATGATGAAGCAGGGCTTCAACACCCACAACGGAAGGGCAAGTTGGCTCTAATATTTCTGTGGAATTTTTATGCATAATGCGTACTTCTCAATGCTAATTTGAATCCTTAACAGTTCCTGATGCAATGTGGAAATTTTACAGGCCCACTGGGATCATGTGTCAACCATGTGGAAACTTGACAGCAGTGCCATCACCTTGAAAGTGGCACCAAAGCTGACTCGATCACATATCTTTCCAAATGGATTCGAGAAAATGCGTGTGGACTTAACATTTCATGTTTTCAGTGCCCAAGTGACTCGGTGCTTAGATTTTTACAAAGATCAGATCGAGGAGCAATACACAAATGTTGAGCCAACAAGACTCGTTATTGGTCTCATGGCGGAACTAATCGAGGTGATGACATCCAGGTTTCCAGCAGAAGCTTTACGGTAAGAGTGAAATATTTACCCTGTCGATAATTAGTCCAGACAAAGTTTCTACGCTTCATACATAAACATTATTTCAGGCTTCACAGCCGAAAGGAAGCTGTGCTTGACCAGGCACTAAAGTTCCTCGATTTGTGGGAAGCTCACGCAAGAGGACTTGGCTTTCTAAGCAAAAGTACCGCAGTGGGTTTGCGTGTGACGTTGAAAAGTACGAAGCACCTCCTGGAGTACCTGTGTGAGGAAGTACATTTCAAGTATCTCATGACGGCTCGCCTAAGCCAAGACTGCCTTGAGCGCTGTTTCGGAATCGTGCGGCAGGCAGGTGGTGGCAATGATCACCCAACCCCTGCACAGTTTGTTGTTATCACGAGGTATTTTATTATCAAATTTTACGCCTTATGTTGCATGTCGTATAAACTTGTTACGCATCTGATTATGTTTGACTGCTGTTGTGAGTAAAATATGCATTGTTTATTTATAGATGCCTCAGCTTCTATAGCCTGGCAAAGAGTCCGAAGGGTGGCAATGTAGCTGACGGAGTGGTGGAATCTCTTCTCTCTCTGGAAGAAATGCTGCACGAGGTGGAAGATCACAACGAAGACAACGAAAGACTTTCATCTGACGTGCTAGAAGTGTCTGTAGATCATGCGTCATACACTGTTGAGCGAAGTGACGCCCGCCTTGTGTATTATGTCGCAGGTTATGTCGCAAGAAAGCGTGTACCTCGTAGTAATTGTGATGATTGCAAGAACGCCTGCCTTGCTTCTAAAGAAAATGTGCCAGGAAATCTCCCAGCCCAGGCAAGCAAGCTGTGGGATCTCGGAGGACTTTTGTATCCGTCGAATTCCTTCTATAACCTGATATTATCCCTTGAGAACAAAATCACTCGCTTCTTGAGCACATCACGTCTTCATGCCAAATCGGCCGTTGAGATGATGAAGGGGATAGGCGAGACGCAACAAATTGGTTGCGCAAAGCATGCTGCTTTTTTGACGAAAAGTGTGGTGCGATTTTATTGCCTCACTCGTGTCCACTTTTTTTTGAAAGGGATGAACCAAAAGGAAGACGAAAAGAAAGGGCGGAGAGTAAAGCCATGCGTACTCTAGTGGCAGTGCATGAATGGCATGCGTGGAAATAAAGTTGTGTTTTTGTGAAAAAGTGTCTGCTAAATTTATGCTGCTGGGAACAATTCTCAAGTCACACGCTTAGCGGTATAGGTAAATTTTGGCGCTCTTAATGCGTGACTCATCTGAGTTAATGTATACATTAACTCAGATGAGTTTTAGCTGCCTATAGGCAGCTAAAACTGCTTCGTTTTTCTGCGGCGAGCAGCGCGCTGCGGCGAGCAGCGCGCGCTCATTCGTACATCGCCTGCGAAAGGCTACCCGCGCCGGTGCGTGCAGCGCCCCAAGCGGCATCGGCGCGCCTTGGGGACCGGTTTCTGCGGCCGCTTTTCACACCTCATATTCTAGCCACCCTACCAACGTTTACGGCTGATACATCGTAACGTCTAGGCGGCGCCCCTATTTTATTACATAGATACCCTTCTTTTAAAGAACTCGTTAATCTTGCATTAAAAGTTAAGGTAGTGTTTTATTTTTGCATTTTGTTCTAGTCTTGCAATGCTTGATGCTTATAATGTTGTAATTTTCTACAAAAATAGTTGCCAATTTTTTTTTTTGCCTCTATGGCGTTGACTAGCCAAGACTAGCCACGTATAAATGTGCTATGAAGTTGGACATCAGCGCTTGCTTTGGCGGCAGTTTCAGGTTAGTATCGGCCTGTTTCAGTTATTTAAGCTAAGCTGTTAATTTCACGCCGTCGCCTCAACTTCAGTTTCAACAGGTATCAATGTAAAGATACTACAGTGGCGTATACGTGTGTCATGATTGCGAAGCAAAGCGTCAACATTTAGCGCTTTATGTTACTGTGACCCAAATATCAAGACGATAGTTATAGCGCGAGAACAAAACGACGACACAAAGACAGAAGGACACGAAAGACACGAGCTCGTGTCTTTCGTGTCCTTCTTGTATCTGTGTCGTCGTTTTGTTCTTGCGCTATAACTATCGTCATGCCATACCAACTAGCCCAAGCCGACACACTTCCAAATATCAAAGCTCGAACTGTCATGGCGATAGTTATAGCGCGAGAACAAAACGACGACACAGAGACAAGAAGGACACGAATGGCACGAGCGCTAGAGTTGGAAGTTAGCGCTCGTGTGCTTCTTGTCTCTGTGTCGTCGCCATACCAACTAGCCCAACCTACCACACTTCGAACTGTCAGTTTCATTACCTGTCAGAATGTACACTAGAACTTATTGTTCCACTAGCAATAGTAAGCCTGATTTATTGACTTTAGCGAGCTGGATCGGTGCGCTGTTGTCTTTGCTGGCTGTTTGTATTGCTGGCGATGTCAAAATGACTACCGAGCACGTCGAGGTCGTCGCTTACAACACAGCACATCGTGGAGTTTTTGTCTGCTCGTCCCGCCAATGACGATGCGTTTTTTTTTTTTTTTTCTGAAACTGAAACACTCCGATCGCATAATGCATCGTGGCTTCGTCAACAAAGTTTCCTTTAAAGCTAGACGCTTCGAACCCTTCTTTTGTTCTGTCGTGCAAACGTGTTTTCCTTCTCCTTTGTTAGAACTTTGACTGTTGTAAACCTGCCCGTTGCACTCGATTTTCGTAACGCTCGATTACAACCTAAGGGGAAAATGCTAGTTCCTCCAACAGCCACTGCTGTCACTCTCACGGTGAATTTGCAGAAAATCTCCATACAAGCATGTGGGAGACGCTCCATCGAAACAGAGGTCACGCATGTGACTCGCCTGTAACCTTTCAGTAAGTGGTTGTGGTGGTGAAAAAATCGTTCAGAAAAGAACTGAGAGTTGCACTACAAATGCACTTGGGTGGTCTCCTTATTCCAGATGTCCACTGGAGGTCATCGCAACACGGGCGCGGGCCACCAAAGATCGCTGAGCGTCCCAGGTGGAGCAGCGGAGCAGCAACTTCTCCCAAGCCTCTCTTGTGGGTAGGGGGAAGGGGTAGGAAAAAGAAATAAGTGTGGAAGGGTCATGCTGTGATCATGTGGTAGGTGTCGGCCAGCACCCCACACTGTGCACAGTAGCCGTGCATACCACGTATGAAATGCTTGGCAGCTGCAGGACACAAGAAGGTGTTTGTATGCGAGAGTTTCGGAAATAACTCGTTCGCTTTAGAGAGACCCTGTGCAGGTTCTTGGTTAAAACAGCATGAGGTTCTATTGCAATCGAAGATTTCGCGGTACTGCGTAAGAGCTGAGGTGGCTGGGGGAGATGCGTGGTCGGAAAAGGTAACGGCCCAGGAGAGAGAGATGCATGAACTACTTCGTTACCGGGGAGACTCGGTGGCCAGGAGACCACGCTATGTCGATGGAGTGAGGTTCAAAGCACCATGAGGCCGCCTGAAAAAGGTCGGCGGTCAGAGGAGCTATGGTACCATGCAGGTATTGAGAACAGGCAAAGTGGGAGTCCATGATGATCACTCTTCCTGAGCGGTGAGAGGCGGCCAAAGCGATGGCTACCTCTTCAGTCCGAATTGTATCAAGTGAGCGGGAAGAATGCCATCAATGTGGTGACCCTCGCATATCACAGCGGCCGCAAAGTGTCCCGAGGAGGTCGGGCCTGAAACATTTACGTAGAAGCCAGGAGTGTTGGAGTATCGAGTGTGGAGAAATCGTGTTCACGCTAGGCGTCTGCCAGTGTGTCGACTGAGATCCGTGTTGCGAGGAAGAGGCTCGACCCAAAGTTTCTGCGGCCACAGCACCGGAGCGGAGGAATCGGGTGCTTTCAGTAGGCGAGAAGCTGCATTAAACGTGCGGTGTGCTTCGTCTGCGAGGGGAAAAAAATGTTACGCCACGTATGTGCCCAACTAGGAAGGAGAAGTGAGGAAAGTGAAAGATATAATAATAACAGATTCTCTTGTGTCTCTGCACTGCACTTTCTGCTGGGGCTAACTCGCACATAAAACAGGTGTTTCGTGCTTTAATGCTCGCACGTTTAAGAGAAGTTCGATTAGTTAGGATGCCTGGACAGAAAGGGTTGCTCCTAAGTGAAATGGCCGATTCTTTAGCACAGTCATCAATAGTTAGGCCAATTTTATCGTGTTATCATCATCCCCTTATGTTACGGCTGCGCGATTTTGTAGGAATATTGTTATGGAAAGCTTTGCTTTTGCACCGCTCCCAATTACCACCTAATATCGGCTCTTCTTATATTCCTAGCGGAGATCATATTGTAAAACAGGTAAACTAGAAGTGCCAGTTACGGGGCTGCGCTGTCGTTACCGAAACTAAATTTTTCACCAACACAGGTCTAGTCAGGCACTTTCTCCAAGTGTGCACTTTCTATGCGAGCTGGTAACTATCGATCATTACTTTTTGACCTGTAGGCGATTTACTACAGCTCGAAGAACCCAGTTAGAAAGACCTTTACCTGCTATTGGAATGAATGTATCTGTGCCCGCAATCTTGTCTTTCGGAGCCTCTATTACTGGGTTTTCTGGAGCTAAATTTTGTGTGCCTGTGTGGAATTATCTCAATAAGACTAAACGGTTGACTAGCTAATCTATGTTATCGTGCTGTGTTGGCACATGCATAACTTTTGTTTTTATTATTTTTGGAAAATATAGTTTTGAATAATTAAATCATAAATAAATTATCTATTACTAATAAGAAAAGCATTTTTTGTACATTTAAGTGAGCATGAATATTTCATATAAAATTTGTAGTGCTTTATGCTATAACCTCCATTATTCTGAAATGCCACAAGATTTTATGAGACCACTCAAGAAATAATATTGTGCCTGTGCAGCTGCTGCTTGATATGCTTGGGATGTGTATTATATGTCAGAAGTGTTAAAACTCATTGTCATTTGTCCTTTGGCACTCATAAGTGCTCATTAGTGTTGATGGTCTATTCTATAGACATTTATCGACAATCACTGGCACTGAAATTTCTATCGAAAACCCCCCCTGACAGCTTTCAAAAAGAGATGACTTAGCATTTCGAGAAACACCTGTGGTCCAGTTCGAGTCATGTTAGGTTCTCGTGAATCCAAGTTTGAGTACTTCTCCAAATAACTTTTACTGCAATTTTACTCCATGTTGGCCCAGTGCATTAGTCACTACAAATTTCTGAAAACTTTGTACATTGAAAATTTATAACATCACAACTGCAGATTTGGCAGATCTCTAAAAGCCAACTCCAGTCTTTTGTGCCGTTATTCTACAACAGTACAAACATAATGAACATAGGCAATGTATGTGTGCCAAATTTGAAAAAGGTAATTGTTTAAGTGTAAAAATGGCTTTTCGGTAATAGTCAACCCTCATAAATTCGAACTCGAGAGGACCCCTGAACTCTGTTTGAATTATCAGAAGTTCTCATATAATATGTGTGTGTGTGTGTGTATATATAGATTGTAGTGAAGAAGACGGGCCTCAGCGGCATTTCTCGGCGCCTCAGGGGCATTGCCATCAGCATAAGCTCGTGCTTGCTGCGCTTGGCCGGACGCTGCTGACTGCTTTGCCTTCTGCTTTCTGCTCTGCAAATAAACCCCGCTACAAGTGGTGGAGGTGCGGGGGTATCACAAGGAGACACTTGCGACCGTCAGAAAGGTAGCGTCGATAAAAAGATCATCCCTTAGGCAAAAGTTGCTAGCCTGGTGGTGGAGAGCGCGAGACGGCGAAGGAGTGAGAGGATCAGAAAGAATGCTTATGAGGCCACTGATCCAGGGATCCTTTCGTTCCACCGTCATGTTGTGCAAGGCGGATAACGCAATTGCAGGCTCGAGGGAAGAGAGGCAAACACCTTCATCCAATATGGGTGAGCGAGAAAGGGCCTCTGCGTCAGTGTGGTTACGACCGGATCTGTAAATAACGTGGATGTCGTATTCCTGAAATTTGAACGCCCAGCGAGCAAGTTGTCCGGAAGGGTCTGTAAGTGCGGATAGCCAACAAAGGGCGTCGTGGTCAGTGACGATGTCGAATGCGTGACCATACAGATAGGGGCGAAATTTTCCAAGGACCCAAATAATAGCTAAACACTCTTTCTCGGTCACGGAGTAGTTAGCCTCGGCTTTTGTCAAAGTTCGGCTTGCGTAGGCGACGACATATTCATCAAACCCTGCCTTTCGTTGCGCGAGCACAGCGCCAAGTAGCGCGAGCACAGCGCTTCGACTCCGATTTGATTGGCGTGGTATGTATTTGATTGGCGTGGCAGATTTGATTGGCGTGGCATGTATGTTAGGTTACCTCCGTCGCAACTTTTCAACGGCCCCTTCTTTCTTGAAACTTCTTCTTTACACTACACTAATACGACCTAAACTTGAATATTCCGCTGCAGTATGGGATCCTAGTCATGCCAACCTAATACACTCGCTTGAAATGGTACAGAATAACTCAATTCGTTTTATACTTTCTAATTACAACAGGACAGCTAACATAACAGCCATGAAATCTAGCCTCAACTTACCTTCACTTTCATCCCGTCGTAAAATGTTTCGCCTCCACTTGTTTCACAAGCTGTTTCATCACACATCGCTGCGGGACGGTCTTATCTTGCCTCCTAGTTATATCTCACCCCGGCTGGATCATTCCCATAAGGTCGGGTTGCCTTCTTGCAGGACTCGCGCCTTTTCTCAGTCTTTCATACCTCGCACCTCTGAGGACTGGAACCGGCTTCCCGCATCAGTGGCAACCATTGTAAATCACCTTCATTTCAAAAGTGTCTTAGCTAATCATGTGTAATTACAGCCAACAAAGTATCGTATTACCCGATGCTGTGTTGTTCCTGTACAGTATTTATTTTCTTGTAGTTTTTTCTGTCTTGATGTAATTCTCATCATTCCCGCGTTTTTGTTTGCTGTAAAGCCTGTTAGCTAACCTGTATAATTAAGATCTTCTGCTCGATGTAAGATTCGCCGCTGAATTTGTAAAAAATTTTTGTCTTTGCTTACGCAACCACTCCCCTCTGTAATGCCGTTTGGCCCCGAGGGTATTGCAAATAAATAAATAAAACTACGTGCGGAAATTCCTTCGCTCGTGTGCTCAGTGCCAACGACAAAAGTTACCTCCCGGGCAAGTTTACCCGTCACAACCTCTTCCTTGCCCTAGTCGACCTTTTGATCGCGTCGGCATTGACATTTACGGACCACTACCATCAACTATAGCTGGTAATCGCTGGATTATTGTTGCGATAGACCACCTGACACGCTATGCCGAAACAGCCGCGCTGCCGACTGCCACAGCCCGTGACGTTGGAACGTTTCTGTTGCAACGTTTCATTTTGCGTCATGGTGCCCCTCGCGAGCTTTTAAGTGACAGAGGCCGTGAATTCCTTTCTGACGCCTAGAAAGCATTACTCAACGAATGCCGAATCGTGCACCGCACAAGTACATCGTACCACCCTCAGACGAATGGCATGGCGGAGCGCTTCAACCGTACTCTTCGAAATATGCTGTCGATGTACGTCGCCTCTGATCATTTCAATTGGGACCAAGTTCTCCCGTTCGTCACCTACGCGTATAATACTGCCGTACAAGCTACTACTGGGTTTTCGCCATACTTTCTTCTGTACGGACGAGAACCTTCAAATACAGTAGACACTATTTTTCCATATAAACCTTATGAGTCCGAAAGTACAACTCTGTCCGGAGCTGCTCGACATGCTGAAGAATGCCGCCAGCTTGCTCGCTCTTTTTCTACTGAGGACCAGTGGCAGCAGCAATCCCGCCAGACTGGAGACCGTTTGGCTCCAAACTTTCCACCTGGTTTATTGGTATGGCTTCGGGCACCTGCTACCGCACCTGGCCGCTCCGCAAAACTTCTTCCCAAATACATCGGGCCATGCCGCGTTGTAGATCAAACGTCACTCGTCAACTATATCGTGGAGCCCATCATCCCATCCACAGACCTACGCTACCGCGGCCGCGACACTGTCCACGTCTCTCGCCTCAAACCATATTATGACCCATTAGTCGTTTCTTCTTCCTAATCCGCCAGGATGGTGCCTTTTCGAGCGGAGGGCGATTGTAGTGAAGAAGAGGGGCCTCAGCGGCATTTCTCGGCGCCTCAGGGGCATCGCCATCAGCATAAGCTCGTGCTTGCTATGCTTGGCCGGACGCTGCTGACTGCTTCACCTTCTGCGTTCTGCTCTGCAAATCAACCCCGCTACAATATATATATATATATATATATATATATATATATATATATATATATATATATATATATATATATATATATATATATATATATATATATATATATATATATATAAGGGAAAGAAGTGTATACCTAAGGGCTCGTTTTTCCGTGTTTTAACACAATAATAATGAGATATAACAGACAGTAATGCCAAGGAATGTACAGGGGAAGTTATTAAAACCAATAGAATGTAAATAAGAAGAAAGAAAAGTGGATGAAAAAATTACCATCTGTGAGCAGGAATCGAACCTACGACCTTCGAATTACGCGTTCGAACCTACGAGCATCGAACGCGTAATTCGAAGGTCGTAGGTTCGATTCCTGCTCACAGTTGGTAATTTTTTCATCCACTTTTCTTTCTTCTTATTTACATTCTATTGGTTTTAATAACTTCCCCTGTACATTCCTTGGCATTACTGTCTGTTATATCTCATATATATATATATATATATATGGCTGGGGCCAAAGAGCACCAAACATTATAGTTTGTCATTGATTTTAATCACATTTTTGAAATTTCCAGCATTTTTAGCTCTAACAGCGCAAAGTAAACGGAGGCGTAAGATCCACAAGATTATCGGTGATTTACTGTAGCACAGACCTTTAAAGAAATCATGAATGGCCAACTGCTTGTTTGCTATAGCTGCCTTCAACACACAGCTCTCTATGTCAATTAGTGCAGCTAGTTCATTAGTTCATTCTCGCAGCTTTCTCTTGCTGTCAGGAATTTTCAAACGTGAGCAATGTAGTGGAAGGCTCGTGCAGCTCTCACATTAGTTTTCGCTTCCAAGTCCACTTTTATTGTTGAAATAACGGTCCAGAAAGTGTTACTTTTGTGCCAGGGAAGGGCTTATTTTGAAATAAAATCACGGTTTGGTGGCCCGTATCGGGTTAGTGCACTTCAAATTAACCGCCTCAAGAAGCGGACCAACTCACGTTAATGTAGCTGTGCACAATGTTGCCTGGCTTTAGTGCGCAGCCACCGACACTAGTAGCAGCAGGACGAAAGCAGTGGGAGCCACAGCAGCAACAATGGCCGTTGATTAATTTCCTGCTATTGGCTCCGAAATGGCAGACCTGTTTCGGTTAAACTGTGCCCCGATAGATGGCATGACCAGTCCTGTATAACTACACGAAAATTGAATTTTTTAACCACTTGCACCATTCCCCATAGTAACGTCCGGCGGTTCTTTTTTCCATGAATCAAACAAACGAACAAGCAGCATTTTGCGTCTTTTGATGCATGGAAGGCTCTTTATTTAGTGGAGCTAGTTCTATTACTAGTGAATAATTGAAGGCAATTCGTCTGATGTCATTAATATCATTTTAAGAACGTCCTACTGCGGCGCATGTATTCTTGTGCATTTACCTTAATTCCTTGGTAAGTAGGGCACTGCTGTTCATAATATTGTCATCTTAGATGTTGTCAAACATTGAGCTTTCATTCTGATGTAAATTGTTATTTGACTTTAGTGTCCCTTTGAGCGAAATGAGAATAGCCTTTTGAAGGTTTGGTACGCCACTTTCCTAAGCCTTTTTTAATCGGGAGCGAAGCGGCTTGCATTATTCCGCAGTTTTACCTCGGCTTTCACAGTCGTCGTTAGAGTACTCTTGATGATACCGCTTTTCAGTGCCATTTCACTCGGGACCAGTGTCCCACACCTCCCTTGTGGAGACATGGTCTACTGTGAACTGTGGAACACGGTTCCAGCGCTGCGATGTACGACGTGCAGGTCATTTGATCTTGCGTTGGCCAGCACGCCAGAAAAGCCAAGACAGCTGAATGCCGTGCACGTCACTTTTGTACCCACCGGGTCCTTTGCGCTCGAGCTACTTAAGTTTCATTTGTGAACTCTTATGATTATGTAAGCAAGTAAATTTTCAAATAGTTACGGGAAAGAAGAACAGATATTTTCCGGTAAGTACTGGCAAAGAGTTTGAATGAACCGAGTGGCGGAATTTGAATTAAGCAGCTATTAGCCCCGAGGAGGAACACTGGCGGCACGACAGTCGGGGCGAAGTGACGTCACAGCAAGGACTCGCTTTTTCCACAGCCGAGTACCGCCTTTTTTTGGCCCGTCATGTGCGCACTCTTACGTGATACGGTGGCGATAACTGCTCGTTGTTGTTATGCAAATCTACCAAGGTAGAAGGCGGCTGTTTACACTGCTAGTGAATGTTTAGTGAGCCGCAAAAAGTTGTGATAATCTAATGGGCAGGCTCCCGTCTGAACGGGAGATTCACTGTGAAACTGGTAGTGTATGCCAGCTAGGCATTCATTGCTGTCACCGCTTATGCCAAGGAAATCGGTACTAAGAGGCTTTGCACTGATGATTCCAACTTCATTACAACGTGGTGTACACTCTGGGGTTAGATCATGTCCCCCGAAAAATTAAAAATAAATTTAGAGTGTTGTCAAATTCACTAAATACAATCCAGTTTTCATGCAGATTGTTCGGGCAATTTGACAAAGTTGTGCTTTTTGCTAAGAGATATTAGATGAATTTACCATCAAAATGTTTTTGATATATCCAGAATGTTGAACAAAATTATACGGTCATTCACAAAACATTCAGGGAAATTCTAAGATGTTAGTGTATTCGTATTTCGTAAGTATTTATTCTAAACGGCTAGTCATCAGGAATTATGTGGCTGTATATTCCGATTTGCATGAACAGCTGGATCGATCAAACGCCACGTCACAAGCAGTAATGTGTTAACTCATGTGGGAGCTACGTCATCCTTGCCGTTACGTCATCCAGGCATCCCGCCAGGCGCGGCCACCCCGACTTCTTGGAGCTAATTAAATAGACTTAAAGAATAGTGGGCGAGTATTTATTACGTCAAATACTCAGTATTCACATGATTGTTTCTTGAGGGACTTGTAAATGTGTCAGATAATCACAGCAACTGCTTGCACCTCCTGTGTGTCTTTGTATGCAGTTTGAGGTCGGCGCCGGCCACAGCCCCCTGTCGCAATGCTGCCGTGCCAACCGTTCTACCATTTCCTTCGGGAGCTGCCGCTCACGCCAGTCAAGTCGTCCAAGACTGCCGACCTTACCTTCTTCTGTGGGACGTACGTGGCACACAGCCACAGTGAGGCTTCCACAACATCACTATTCATTTACTTCTCTCCGATTGTAGAGCGCTCGTCTCTAGGCGATCGCACGGCTAGCCTGTCCTTCAATGGCAAGCCATACTTCCGCTTGCCGTTGACAATGGTGAACACTTTCCCCCTTGTTGATCGCACCAAAAAGAACTGCTTCGCTGTTTGGGATGAGTTCGTTCCAGAGAAGGTGACGGTGCGTGCCTTCGAAGCTGTGAAGGTCTTGGAGAGCGAGATGATGTCCTTGCTCATTGAAAGTGCACCATACATCATGAGACGAGAAGAAACGGAAGCACTCTTGAGAGCCCATTTTGCGACATCAGACGAGGCCGTCGTCGAGAATTTGCAGGTGTGTCTGTATTGCCAACTTGGGCACTTTACAGCACTATTGTTGTGTCAACACTAGAGCAGCTCTTACATACTAATTTTGTGTGGAAAGCATTTGGGCAGCCTCTTAAGGTATCACATAGCCATAAACAAAAACATATACAAGTTTTCGGGTTGCCTTGACACAATTTTCCAATGTAAAACCGAAGCAGCTTTCGGGAGATCCCTCTACGCGGAGCAACTTCCCTCCTGAATCAATTCATACAGGGGCTATGGCACAAATGTTTTAATCTTGAATTATGAACTTCTTGTTAACCTGTACGTGTCCCAGAACAATCTGAAAAATGTTTTAGCATATTTGGTGCAGGGAAATATTTGTAGTTAAATTTGAAATATCAGAGCTAAACCGTAGAGCATTACAACAGGCATGAATAGTGCCTGTGGAGAAAAGGACAAGCCGCTGTCCCCACGGCAAAGCCCACCATTGACCTCCTCTTTATTCTTTGTTCTGATTTGATTTAGATTTTCAAATGCTTTCTGATTTTTTTTCACACAGGTCTCACCCGCCAGGTACACCTGAGTAGCTGATGCTATCTTGTTGTTCACTTCACGGGCGCAGAAGGTTGACTAGATTTCTAAAGTCGTGGAAGGGCTCTCTAGCCTCGGAAGTTGTTCTTCGGTGCTGATCTTCGAGATTGTACTCTCTGCAGAGGGAAAGCTTGTCTGTTGGCTTTGGATGTGTTCGTCTATTCATCATGAAGTCGACTCATCAAGCGTCTGTGCAGCCAGATCATTATTGAGGAAGCATTGGCTAGGTGTTAGTGCTATAGACGAGGAGCCAATTTTTCTTTTTGCTTCTGTTCTAATCCGCTCTTTTATTGATTCCAGATCAGCTTGCCGAGCTTTTAATTCATCTTAAATCTTATACTATGCTCTAACTTTCGCTCGAATAATCTGGTGAACATAATTATCTGCTTCCTTCATCTCCACTTCTAAACGATATATGGGAACTGTATCTTCTACCTCCTTGTCAGTTTCCCTGAGATTCCTATACTGAGTAGTCAAAATTCGGTGAAAATTCGTCGACTCGCTTATTAGTGGTTGATCCATATGCGCAAGGTGTTCGATGTTTTCGATGGCTTGCGTGGCGGCCTAGCGTACTTGACTGCGCCTTTTAATTAGGGCCTCCATAATCCGATCCAGTGTTGGGAAACGCAGAAAATCAGTGGCTGGCTATGCCACGAGGTGAAGAAGGGGTCACCGTGCTATCCGTCACAAAGCATCGCATGATCGAGCTCTGAGCGTCGTCCCCGATTTCGGCACTATAAAATGATGTGGAAAATCTTTCTGTAGCCCTTAGTGGCGCTTCGTGCAATGCTGTCCAAACATGGTGCCCATTCCAATCCAAGAGTCCAAACAGCATCTGCCCACTACCCCTTCTTCTTCGTCTCTTCCCGTAGTTTCCTACAGTGCCAAAGTTAACAGACACTTTTTGAGTCAGAGAATTCGATCTTGAAGGTCACACCTCCATACATTGTGAAAACAGCAACTGATTGCAAGAGTTAAAAACGCATCATTGCAGTTATGCAGTGTATCTTTTTTTGTTCTTGTCGTTGCTTTTGTGTGTGTGTGTGTGGGGGGGGGGGGTGCTTCTTAGTGGTCTGCGGCATTTTATCATATGAGTGAAAGAAATGAGAGCACAATTAAAATGTGCTGCCCCTGCTGTCATCATAGAGCATATGTATTGATAGGCTCAGTATGGTTTCATGCTGGAAGGAGACATCAGCAGTGGCACCTCATTTCCTGATGTCCCATAGTGCGTGCCAAAATGGCGATTGTTTTCAGTGGGAGAACCTTAAACTGGCCCATCAACACTCTTCCAAGTAGCCATGGAATGGATTCACTAATGGAGCTTATTGTCCCACGAATTCACCTCTGCAAGAATTTTTAGAATCCATCCAGTACGAGGGGAGTTGCAAAAATTTGTCACACGCTGCAAGTGCATTCTCTCTTCTCTTGTCCCGACCAAAGTGCTGGAAGCTAAGCAGGGAGAGATGGCTCGGGGAAAGAAAATATGCCGCTCCTGCCTCATGACCTTAAGCGCTTTATTCCCCCCCCCCCCCCTCCTTTTTTTTCTTTTTTTTTTCCAATGCCCAGCTTTTCACTGCGATCACACGCGCATATGTGGACAAGTCAGAGCCTCCCACAACGGCCTTAGTAACGATTGAGCATCCCATGCTCTAATCAGCCAATGGCTGTGACTAGTGATTTTTAAGCTTGTAGCGACATTTGTCGAGAGAAAGTAAAAGCAATTTCGAGCGATCCTTCAGAATTTATTGTGAATCCCTGGCTCATGCAGCGCTATAATATTTAAAGGTGAACACATCCGACAGAGATCTGTCTGGCTGGGTGAAAATTCGTACCAATGAAGTGAACTCTCCAGCCGCCTTTATTTAGTCCAAAGTTTCTAATGATAAAATAAAAACTATAAACTGGACCCAAGGTTTCGGGAGCGATTCGGTTCCTTCTTCGGGGGTGATTGTGCGGCCGACTCCGAAGCTGGCGTCTTTTCTTGCTGGCACCCCCTCTCCATCGTCCTTCTCCCGCCGTTCTTGTTGCTGCAGTGTTTTCTCCTCTGGTTCTATAGACCGTGCATTTATGCACTTGGATAAGTCCTAGTTGACCGGTTAATATTTTCAGGTGTTGTTTGAATATGCTGGGGCTCTAAGAACTGCGCTTTTGTGCGGCTACCTTCCACATTGATGATCTAGGCGTCGTTGAAATCGATGCAATGGTTCATCTTTCACTGTGTTCTGTGAGAGTTTTTCGTGCAGCATTGAAACTACGCACGTCGTTTCGATGTTATCGTATCCGTGCTAGGAGGTTTTTTGTCACACCGATGTAGGTCGCGTGACAATCCTTGCATGGAACCTCATATACTAGCCCGGGGAATCTTTCTATTGGCTGCCGGTATTTTGGTTGCAGCAAGGGTTGCCCAATTGTTGAAACAGGTTTGCGCGCCACTTGGATGCCCTCTTTTCCCAGCACATTTTATAGTTGCTCACTGATTCCCAGAATGTGTGGGACCGAGAGGCAGTAGGAGTCTTTGGAAGAGGCTTCATTATTAGTGTCACCCTTTGCAGAAGACAACAGGCAGAGGGCACTTTCCCGGCTGTCACATCACGGGCGTATGTGGCGAATAAAGCTCTTTGAGTACCCATTGTCCAAGAGGTCAGTCGTGATCGCCCCTTCCTTTTTGCTTCTTCGAGCTGCAGATGGTACCTGTGCAATTCGGGAGTGTCTCAAGCCCCGATGCTTTGTAGGTAGTCAGGTGGTTGGAAATGAACTGTAGATATCGTCCGATGTGCATAGGTTTTCGGTACACTGAGAAGCTCAAGTGTTCTTCCAACCCCCGCTTCTTCCCATTTTACGAGCACATCTAGAAAAGGAAGAATGTTGTTCTTTTCACGTTCCACAGTTATTTGAATGGCCGGCTTAATCGAATTCAGCTGTGCCAGGAAGCTGTTGATGTTAGTTTCCTCGATCACGCTGAAGACGGCATCCACATATCTCGAAAAACATTTTTGGTGGCTCGGCGAATGTGTCCAAGGCTCGTGTTTCGATGTGCTCCATCGACAAGTTTGCCGCTGTGGCTGAAACAGTGGCTTTCATGGCGATTCCACTTCACTGTTGGTAGAATTCACCTCCGAAATAAAAATACGTTGCTTTAAGGCAGAACTTCATCAGGTGGCACCGTTCATTCGTGCTGAGGTTCGTCCTTTCATTGAGGTTTTTATAGCTTTCTAGAGTGGTTCAGGGGACTGAGACGTCGAGGCGTACAGGCACACTTGTGAACAGGGAAACTACGTTGAATGGCACGAGGCTCTCGTCACTGCCGATTGTCACCTCTGACATACACTGAACAAAATGGGTGGCATTTCTTACATGTGTGGCTGTCTTCCCCACTATTGGTGACGGGGTCCTGTGTAGATGTTTGCACAGCATGCGAAATGGGGATGTTTTAAAGTCAGGTATTGGACGTTGTGGTATCCCTGGTGTGTGGATCTTCGGAAGGCCGTAGAATTATGGCACGGAACTGTTTCTGCTTATGAGGTGTAAATAAAGCGTTCTTGATTCTGGGGGCTCGCCTGTTGTCCAGAGCCTCGACTACCGATTGGCAGTATTTTCTGACCATGCTCAAAAAGTGTTGCAGGGCCCTTTTAAGTGTGGCACTGTCAAATATAAATGTTGAGTTAAGATGTACAGTCGGAGTCAGGGGCGTAGACAGGGGGTGGCACACCGGGCACTGCCCCCCCCCCCCCCGAAATTTTTTTTTCGCAATGGCATAGAGAGCAGCAAAATAGCCATTTTAAAAGGGTGCCCCTCCTAAAATCAAAAGTGGTGCCCCCCCCCCCCCCCCCCCCCCCGAAAAATATTTCTGGCTACGCGCAAAGTCGAGTGTTTTGTATTGCTAGGCACATTGGACTCCCTGCTCTCATTTCGGATAATATACAAAGGCCGGCATGACAGCCGTATCATAGCCCTATATTCATTAAGTGAGGCGCTGCACAAAATAAACATACACAACAAGAGAACAAGCATAGCCGCAGACTCACGGCTGAATTTTATTCAGAAGAATACGCTTATTTACACCGCACAAACCGCAAAATCATCTACGCGCATGCGAGATACCTGCTTTCACTGTGATACTGTCTTACTGATGCGTCACTGACGCAAACACATTCAGCACATATGATCTTTGACATCAAATCACACGTGCTGGATGCACTTGCGGTGAGCCAGAAAAGACCTGACCTTAGAAGCAGGCCATTGGTAGGTTTTATTTGAAGGGAGCCTTGTAAAAGTCGTAATTTAACCTTCCACATGGCAGCCTAAACAATCGGGTTGCTACGTTAGGTTGATGAAGGCTGGTCTTCTCACACCGGTCATAGTTCCTGTGGTGGAAAAGCTCCTGCAGAGTTTGAAGGCTAATGCAACTCGGGGATGTCAAGGTAGTAAAAA